TGTAATTTTTTTTTGATAGTGTAAATTGTGTGGTTACAGGAAAACCATCAACTTCAGCATCATCACAACAGTTGGGAGAAGTTTGCTCAGTTACCACCTGACTACCAGAAAATCTTGATGTAACTACAGTTGAGGAGCATTCTTCAGAAGCAAGTGAGTAAAGTAATTTTGCATGAATATCTTAGCCTATTATACCAAGGGAAACACTGTTTTAAAAAAAGCAAATCTTAATAGAAGTTCTTCAAAATTGTGAAGTTTGAAAAGAACATTGGTTTCTATACAGAATAATACCTACTAATAATTTTAATTTCAAATCACATCAGCATAATATAAACTTCAAACGAAGTTTGGTCAACTTTGACTATCAATCACTTGCATTTATTTATATTTTATTGAATTTATTGTCTTGTAATGGATTCTTAATATACCTATATAATAATAATATTTATTCACTCAATGTACAAAGATAACAAACAATGTGAGTAAATAAAAACAAAATCAAAATAATAATATATAATATCAATTTCATTCTTTATTTCAAGGTTCCTTGAGGACAGAATCTGGATTATTGCATAAGGTATATGTAACCAGAGAAACCCACTTAAGTCCAAAAGCTAAAAAGCTATATAAGATAGCCAGTCACCTCTCTAGAGCTAACAGAAGACTAGGATGTACAAGAAGGTTGATTAGAAGTACCAGAAGTAAATCAGGCATTGCAGCAATTGGACAGCACTGTAGCTACTTTTATCAAAAGCCAGATCACACTGGCTGGTAGTAAATCACAGGGACGCAGATATAGCTTAGAAGACAAATTGATGGGACTTATACTTCATAAACAAAGTGGTAGGGGATATCGAGCATTATCAAAAATATTTGCTTTGCCCTCAAAAAAAAAAAAACAATAATGCAGCTATTAAACCGGATTCCCATCAATCCAGGTGTAAATGATGTGATTTTTTAAAGAAGGGAATACTTGCATTCAAGAGAGCCATTAAGAACCATCTTCTGGGGTCTGCTAGCCAAGCTAGCTGATATATTTCTTTTTTTTTTGTTAGAGCGGGCCATGTAGTATTGATGTATAACATCTTAAGATTACTCTATTTAAGCCTTAATTATTGTATATATTAGTTAGTCGATTGCTATTCATTGTTATATCTTTTTTTTGTATGTGTTTCTGCCCTGTGAGGTTAAGTGGTAGAGTAGCCAGCTGGATAAGCTTCGCCTCGCAGTGTGGATGGATTTCTAAATGCATTATTATTATTATTATATTTAGCTTTGTGAGAAAAGGTGATATAATTTGTATATGAATAATTGACCATAAAATGACTATAATTATTTCTTTAATTTTAATTCCTCCCTTCACATCCCCTGTAAAGATCTTCCGCAAGCCATAAAATCGCTAAATGATGAGAAATTTAGAACACTGGTTAGGACATCCATTTTAGCAAAATATACCTAAAGTCGTTACGTTTACCTACCACTTCAAAAAAAAAAAAATGCCATGTAGATTTTGCTCCTTTCAAATGTAAAATAGTTATTTATATTTCATAGACAATATCCTTATACAACTTAATTTTGATCATATCATTCCAACTTATTTTAGGTTTAATATTTTGTAGTTTTTACGGTGGTTGCCTTTACTTGATGGAAATCCATTTTACGTAATAAAAACATTCCAAATGGTTTAATTTCTGCTATATTAGTCATTAATACGTCACGCGCGACTCACCCCAGCATTGGAGAAAGACACTGTGTGTCGAAATGCGCGTCGTATTAATGACTAAGAAAGTGGAAATTAACCCATTTGGAGTGTTTCTGTTATTAAGACGATTTATTATTAACAGAATGTAAAAAGCCCCATTAGGTTTGTCCTATTAAGATGGAAAGGCCCATTATTCAGCACTGGTGTGAGACCAATAGACCAGAGGTCGCAGAAATACGGTAACTTATTTTAGTATTGGATTTTCCCATCTCTAGAAGGGTTTATCTCTGGCTGTCCGCCTGCGATACGCCGTGGCAATGGGCGTTACTCATAGAAGCCTGTGACGCGCATACGAGGGGAGCGCGGTAACTATATATATTCTAACTGTGCTTACGAGTTTTATACTATTGCGGTATTGCATTAAGCGGTTCTACAGAGTTTGTAGGTTCGTATCTAAGGCTAGTCGTACACCTCAACTCATAACAAACAGGCCTGTCGTGTATTTTTTTTTGTGAAAACCTGTACAAGTGCGTCGATGTGCTTTTCAGGGTTTAAAGTACCCAACAAGCGCTATTATAATCAGTTATCAAAAAGTTGTTACAAACGGTCTTACACAGGATTTAAAGTACACAAGAGCTATTATAATCAGTTATCAAAATGCTGTTACAAACGGTCTTACACCCAAGCTCCAAATAAAAAAGTCTGTCGGGTAGGGTGCGACATTCCCTGCAATTTAGGAAAACATTTTCTTCGTGAAAACCTGTACAAGTGCGTCGATGTGCTTTTCAGGGTTTAAAGTACACAACAAGAGCTATTATAATCAGTTATCAAAAAGTTGTTACAAACGGTCTTACACCCCAGCTCCAAAGAAAGAAGTCTGCTGCGTACGGTGCGCGATACTCCCTGAAATTTAGGAAACATTTTTTTTTCGTGAAACATACAGAAGTGCGTCGATGAGCTTTTCAGGCTTTAAAGTACATAAAAAGAGCTATTTTACAAACGGTCTTACACCCCAGCTCCAAAGAAGGAAGTCTGTCCCGTACGGTACGCGATACTCCCTGAAATTTAGGGAAACCTTTTTTTTCGTGAAAACCTGCAGAAGTATGTCGATGTGCTTTTCAGGGTTCAAAGTACACAACAAGAGCTATTATATTCAGTTATCACAAACTTGTCCCTGAAATTTAGGAAAAATTTTTTTTCGTAAAACCTACACAAGTTCGTCGATGTGCTTTTCAGGCTTTAAAGCACATAACAAGAGCTATTTTAATCAGTTATCAAAAATTAGTTACAAACGGTCTTACACCCCAGCTCCAAAGAAAGAAGTCTGTCACGTACGATGCGCGATACTCCCTGCAATTTAGGAACAATTTTTTTTCGTAAAAACCTGCAGAAGTGCGTCGATGTACTTGTCAGGGTTTAAAGTACACCACAAGAGTTATTATAATCAATGAGCAAAAAATAGTTACAAACGGTCTTACACCCCAGCTCCAAAGAAAGAAGTCTGTCGCGTATGGTGCGCGACACTCCCTGCAATTTAGGAAAAATATAGCTCTTGTTGTGTACTTTAAACCCTGAAAAGCACATCGACGCACTTCTGCAGGTTTTCACGAATAAAAAAATTCCTAAATTTCAGGGAGTATCGCGTACCGTACGCGACAGACTTCTTTCTTTGGAGCTGGGGTGCAAGACCGTTTGTAACTACTTTTTGATTGCTGATTATAATAGCTCTTGTTGTGTATTTTAAACCCTGAAAAACTCATCGACGCACTTCTGCATGTTTTCACGAAAAAAATTTCTCTCAAATTCATTTATGTTTATGTGGAAATTGTGGAGAGGAGATATAAATTATTTAAAATTTTACAATTGTTAAAAATACTAATTTGCATAAAACATAAACGCCACCAGTCTTGTTTTGTTTGTTATTGCGCCTAAAATATGTGAATCAAACCTATCTTTCTGAAGCGATTACATTGGAATGTTGTTTATCTGGTTGAGAGTTTTTCTTGGGTACTTATATCAGAACAAGTTTTTTACTAAGTAGCATGCTTGGTTTTTCCTACATCTTATTTAGGGGGTGTAGATGAATATGAAGAGATTCTTATGCCCCCTGACTCCCAAATATAATGCGTGGTTAAATGCACCGATAAAATATATAGAAACTGTAAAGATAAAAGACTCACCTTGTAAAACACTGATATTTTAATAACTGAACAGATGAAGGAATCGACCTTAAAAGTATTAAATTTAGTTTCATATGACTTTACAACTCTCTTTTTGGATATTTGCTTTAAATGAAGAGATTCAAACATTCCAACTGCTTGACAACAGCCACCTAACGAACTTAAGAGATTTTTTCGCGAGATCCCGTAGTGAACCGGAGCGGGAACAGATGGGATGGAATTTCCCCTTCCTCTCGAAGTTTTGACAGTTTCAAGTTACACCGGGAGTAGTTAGATGGCGCATGTTGCCCAAAATGTTTGCTTTGAGCTCCTTGATAAACATCGCTGCTTGTTTGAATCTGAATACTGAAATAAAAAGACCGATCGTTTTTTTGTGCAATGTACATATATATCAATTAAATCAATCATTTGATATGACAAGTGCGGTTCATCTTCTCCCTCGTCATTTAAAATCAGGTGGACGTGTTCCTCCATTTATGATAATATATATGATGATAATTTAACTCAATTTTCGGCACTGCGAAGACAAATTTTCAATTGAGATGCCTGTTTTTTTAAATGAAATTGACATAAGACCTGTCACCCGCTAGTAGGTACCTCACAGACGTTAGGCGGGTACCCTTACCACGTGATTTTTTGACATTCGAACGACGTCACATCCGTCTTCCCCTATTCCCGTTCTTCGCGAAAATTTGAGTATCGGTTCTCGGTAGTGCACTGTGCTACACCGTGGCCTTGCGAAAAAATCCTTTATTATAGGCTTCGTTAGCATTGACGTCACATGTTGGGTTAGGTTATGGCACATGCACTGAATCAAAACAAATATTTTGACATTGCATCTTCCCGTATCAAGTGGTTAAAGTGGAGTTTTAAAACTATTTTCGTTGAAAATAAGGCCGTTAGTTTACAAGCAGGTATGTAACTAAGTGATCCGCTGAATGTGTGAGTATTTTGCTTATAAAAAATGCTGTATTTAGATATCATTGCTATTCACATAACCTACCGTTCTTTGATAGGATATTTTCAAATTGAAATTTTGTCTTATTGTTACTATTTATTACAGAAAATGGTGCAGTGCTGGGCACCCGACTGTAAGCACTATAATGTTAGAGAAACGAGTAAGATGTTCAGGTTTCCCAAAGATCCAAAAACAAGGAATCACTGGATAAAACTTACAAGGTAACACCACAAAGACCATACTGGAATTATTATTTGTTCGGAACATGGGAAACGTATAATTTAATACAATAAAATTAATAAGTGTAATGTTTCATTTGATTGCAGGAGAACAGTTGAACCAGGTCCTGGTGCATACTTATGTAGTTGTCATTTTGTGGATGGAAAAAAAGAAAATGGACCTACATTGTTTTAAGTATATTAGAGAGAAGCAATTAAACTTTCCATCGCCAGAAAGAAGAACCCGTAAAAAGACCATTGAAAAACCTTTTAATATTGATGTAGATATAAGGTTAGTCCTACAACATCAATTTCATTCATGTATCTGAAAATTCATTGTGTTCACAGATCTGGGTTTTCTTTTAATGTTGTGAAAGGAAATGACAGGCTAGTACTGCTGTATACAGGCTTACCCACAGAGAACATATTTTTTTCTTTATTCAACCTGTTGAAGGACATTGGTATATAGTACTATAAATGGAAAGTTAAAAAAATGAGAAAAATAGATCAGTTATTCATGACTCTTACTAAGCTAAGACAAAATTTTCCTCATGACAATTTAGCTGTTCGATTCAATGAATCACAGTGTACAGTATCAAATGTTATAACAAGATGGATACATTTACTTCATGAAATTATTCTTAAACAAATGATGAAAAAAATTCCTTCAAGAACTAAAAACAAACTCTGCCTGCCAAATTGTTTCACACAGAAATACCTGCAAAGGGTTAGTTGGTGTAACTCCTAATGGGGCAGTTATTTACATGTCAAGTTTGTATCCTGGGACAACCTCAGACAAAAAAATTGTTAAGGATTGTGGAATACTCAATCAGCTTGAAGCAGGAGATTTGGTATTCGCAGATAAAGGTTTTTTAATACAAGACTTAATGCCTTCTGGTGTCAATATTAACATTCCACCATTTCTTACTTCACTGCTGAACAGGTAAGATAAACAGAATGTATTGCATGAGCTAGGATTCATGTTGAACGTGCAATAAGAAGGATAAAAACATACACAAAATAGTATATTAGATTTTATTCTATATGCTTTGTTGCCACATGCAGATGCAGTATTTCAAGTTATAGGTGCTTTGACAAACTTACAGTATCCACTTATAAGAGAAGTTGAACAGTTTTATTCGGAAGGTACCAATAAGCTGTAGCTTGGCATAAAAATTGATATGCATATAATATAATAGTGTATCTAGTTTGTAGTGTAATAATACAGTAGTGACATGAATTAGCAATAAATAACTGTCCTGCACTTGTTTCATTCACACATCAGTATTATACTGCTTTATAATTCATCTGCTCTACTAGCTACCTAATCAAACATCCTTTATGTGTAAATGTGTAATATTTCTATCATCTAGAGCACATAATTGTGGACAAAATAATTTGTCAGCTGGTAGAAAAAATGCCTGTAAACGATGCCAAATAAAACACCAGTTGCATAAATATTGCTTTATTTTAAATAATGATAAAATATATCCTAGAAATTGTTCATAGTAAAATGATTTTAAAATATTTAAATTATTTTCCCATTCATCATTTCTTGAAATTCTCATAACTACTATATCTTCTGGAATCCATATCACTAAATAGCACATATCTTTATTTGTAATGTGTAACTGTCCTTGCACTTGGTGATAATAATTATGATTTTCATTAATGGCCCAGGAACAGTTATAATATGAAACAACATAATTTTCATTTTTAGTGAGTACCTCTGACAATTTTTCTTCATTGCTATGTTTGAAAGGGCATTTCACTTCGATAGTACAATTTTCACTTATATATCCATCAGGGCTTGCACCTTAAAACCACATTCATCAAGGCAGAATCCTGCAGGTTCTACATGTAATCCTGTAATATCTTGAAATCTTTCTATGGCAGTGTGTTGATTCTCCCTTCCCCACTGAATAGCCCAAACACCACTCAAATCATATCCATCTAATAACCCTTTGAATAATGAGTTTGGGTACTTCTTCCTTTGGCAAGCTGATAAACCTGTACCAAACTTGGCTGGATGTCAGTCTGTACTTTCTTGCCATCAGCCAATTTGCATTATTTGACTGGCCAATAGTCATCTCTAGAACTTTCCTTATAATATCTGCGCTCACACACATTTCTGTAAAAAGTAGTCTTCTTTATTAGCGGCTGTTGTGTACTCGCTGGAGAAAATTATTGCCTCAAAGTCTGGTAACCACGTGAGGTCTACTGAAGGCTCTGGCATTAACCACCATGTAAATCCTACAGGAGTAGTATCACCCACTGATTGACTGAATGTTTCAATCTCAGATTTGGTTGCATTTCTTTGAGCAGATTTAAATCCCAAATGGGTTTGTAGATATCACTAATTTTTGTGACCTGTTCAGTTTCTGCTGGCTTCCTTTTATTCCATAAACATGTCTTATCTGTCATGCTAACATTATGGTGAGCGTGGATGCAAAGAGCAGCCATGTGGTGACATACTGCTAGACCTCTTGGACAGGAGCATTTGGCTGATACAATTCCATCATCAAGATCATAAGAAATCTGAAATATGAGCATTCATTAATATAAAAATAAAAATTCATATACCTAAATCAATATTAGTATTACCTCCACAGTATAACACTTTTTCTTCATACTCGCGGCGACTTCTCCCCTTAATACTGCTGCTGAAACTTCTGCACCAAATAGCATTTTGAGAACATTCCCACTCTCGAAAGCATTTTCACCGCATTGGAGCTGGGATATATCATCCTTGAAAAATTCCCCTATTACCGAAAACGAAATAACACGTTTCGAAGACACTGAAAATTAGCTCGTGTTAGTTATGCATCGTATATTTTTGTAATCACGCAATAAGTTATGGAAAATACAAATTTTAACTTTTTTTAATTCTATTACAACCTAACCGATAATAATTTCGTTAGCAAAATTACATAGTCATTTATCAATAATAATTATGCGTGCTACTTCATCATGCTTTCTTTAAATAATGATTAAAATACTTACTTTTAGAAGTTAATTTTATCAAAAATGATCAAATCACAGGAAAAACGACGCAAATAAAGTAGTCACTAAGGATTTTTTCGCGAGTCCACGGTGTAGCACAGTGCACTACCGGGAACAGGTCTTATGTCAATGTCATCTAAAAACAGGCACCTCAATTGAAAATATGTCTTCGCAGTGCTGAAAATTGAGTTAAATTATTAAATCATAAATGGAGGAACACGTTCACCTGATTTTAAATGACGAGGGACAAGGTCATCGAAGATATATGAACCGCACTTTTCATATCAAATGATTGATTTCATTGATATACGACCCCCTTCCCACTTCAGTTGGCCCAACTATTGAAATCTTAGTTTTTTTCTTATCAAAATAATAAACATGTAGCAGGGTGTTATAGGTTTAAAATATTAACAATGAATATTTGGATAATATATAGTAGAAAACACCAACTTTATCACTCCCTAATCAAATTTGCTGCATAAAAATAACACATGTTGGGATCTAAAACATGGCTTCTATCACATAAAAACTAGAAAACAAGATACTTACAATAATATAGCGTTTGATATGTATACGAGCCCCTTCCCACTTCCGTTGGCCCAACTATTGAAATCTTAGTTTTTTCTTATCAAACACAAATAATAAAAATGTAGCAGGGTGTTATATGTTTAAATTATTAACAATGAATATTTTGAAGTTGAGTCATTAATTTTCAGATAATGATTGTAGAAGGAAGATAAACCAAAATATGTGTGTAAAAATAAAAAAAAATGTTACCTTGTTTTATAAAGTATCCTCCCGACAAGTATTTCAGTGCGGACCTGTATTTGATCGTGCGGTCTTGGAGCACCGGCATGCCCTCCCCTGTGAGGTCTTAAGTCACCTGATTCACGAGCCCTTTGTACTACATTAACAAAGGCACGAGGGGTTGGTTGCACTCGATTGGGAAACCGATCCGCATGAATCCGTGATGCCGCGTAAATAAGAATCATGTCCACAAGTTCAGCATTTTCGTAAACATGTGCCATTTTTGATTTCGTTTGAGCCACGCAACACACTACTATTCACTTACGCGTTATCGACTGACGAAAAACATCGTGATAAACGTTTCAAATTCTTTCGCTTTTTTGTTTCCGATGCGATGAACCGGTCAAGCGGATTATATCCGTTGTCGCCAAACACGAGCATATAATAGGCAGGGCGGTACTCAAACTTCCAAAGGGCTATAACTTTGTTACTTTAATTTTACCAGAAAAATGGTAAAGGAAAAAACATTTCTTTTGATCAGATCTACTCACTGTTAAAATAAATGACTCAACTTCGAAGTCACCCTGTATATATATATATATATATATATATATATATGTTGCTTTTCTTTAATGTCCCCCGAACAGATCAATTCAAAAAATTGAAACTTGAGGTAATGAAATTGATGCGTGGATACCATAAAATTGATAGATGAAAATGTCAAGATGGCGCCATCTTGGAAAAAAATTATGAAAACGGAGGTCTTGTGGCACATCATTTTGAAGCTCCTGACGAGTACTTTATAACCATAGAATATAGAGTGTATAAATATACCTACTACAAAATTTATTTATGGGTTCCTTGACTTTCAGTTTTCTACTGTTCAGTTTTACCGCTCTATTTTGAGGTTATGTTACAAATATCTGTTCGCATCAAATTGTTCATACTTTTGATTTATATCTATTTTATCAGCCTTAAATTTCCTACGATTCAAGAAGGAAACATAACTTCACAACCCCAGCCTTTTTGAAGAGGAGAAAACACTATGAAAATCAAGGAGGCCATAAAGGCGTCCTTCAATTGTAGGTATGACTGATGTTACGGCCGACGGCCCTAAATGTATTTAATTACTTCCAGTCTCTCTATGCCAGTCACCATTAATTCAACTTGAATACTTTTCAAATAATGCAGCTGCCAATTAAACTGCAAAAATGTATTGCCCGCAAGACTTTTTCATTACAAAGTGGGACTTTATATTTGTAGAACAATATGAGTCTGTTCAGTGAAAGTAAAGTTGTACAGCATTTTTATACTAAATAGATATATACTTAGGACTTTAGTTGGTTATATGACCAAATTAGGAGAATATTATTTTCTTTTTCAGATCTTGTACTTTTCAAAGTTAGGTGAACGTGAACCAATTGTACAAATATAATTTTGAGACGCCTAATGTATAATGATTTGGCAGTTAGCTACAGTTATTTGGGAACCAGACAAAATAAGAAGGCATTCAAAACCTCATTTCTCAACGTAATAAGTAAGTACTAACAGAGCTCTATAGGTTTCCAAACAGTTTCAGACCTATTATTGTTTACAAATTTGTATCTGACGTAACATACAAGACTTGGTGTACAACTATATTCAAAAATCCTTTTTTATGTGACAGTTTTATATACAGGGTGTGCCGAAAAAAGTGTGCAATATTCTACCAGCGGTTTCTAGAGCTTAAAATAGGAAGAAAACTTTATATAAACATAGGTCGACAAACGTCCCCTAAGGGCGCTACGGTCTTTTAAAGGGGCTCCCCTGAAGATGGTTTTTCCTTAATATTTCCGAAACGTGTTTTGATAAAGGCATAAAATTTGATATTCTAGCCTAGTTTTTTTATGCTGGATTTAAAAAAATTAACAATTTTAGACAGTTTTGTTTGGACGCGTATGTAACAGGGACGGACTCAGGTTATTTGAGCCACAAAATTTTGTGTGATTCTATTTTTGAAATTCTAGGATTTTCTACATAAAAAAGGTACTCTTATTGAATATCGATAAATGTGCAATTTTTGAATAAAATCAAACTAAAGAATTTGTCACATGATAGGAAATGTACTGCGAATTTAAATGAATTGTTGGATAATTAACCAAGGCAACGAAAAAACTAATTTAATAATTGGTAAATATTACATAAATACATATTTCTATTGCAACATAGCTAACATTTAGGCAAAAACAAAAGAAATAAATTTTTTCTACGAACGAAATTGAAATTTGTTTAAAACAGAAGACATACAGTTGGATATACTTAAAACTAGCTTTACAATAAGTGTTCAAATAAATTCCCATTTTGTTGGATACAGAGTCTCGCTCGACGAACTAATGATTTCGTAGCCCGATAAGTGGAAAACCTTTTCCTTCTTATTTCATTTGTAGCTTGATAGATTCTTTGAAGTAAATCTTCTTGAGTATTTACTTCAGTCGAGTAAACTAAGGTCTTTTAATGACCCCCAAAAATAGAAATCCGGTGGATTTAGGTCAGTTTAGGTATGCTAGCCTAGTTTTTTATGCTTGATTTAAAAATATTAACAATTTTAGACAGTTTTGTTTGGAAGCGTATGTAACAGGGACGGACTTAGGTTATTTTAGCCCCAAAATTTTTGTGTGATTCTATTTTTGAAATTCAATTTTAGAATTCGAAAATTTAGGGTTTTTTTACATAAAAAAGGTACTCCTAAGGAATATCGATAAATTGTGCCATTTTTAAATGAAACAAACTAAAAAAATGTCACATGATAGGAAATGTACTGCGAATTTAAATGAATTGTTGATTATACATAGTTAGCCATGACTGCAAACAAAAGTTGTTTTGATTTGTTATGACTTATTTTGACGTTAAGCTGATATTGTTAGCAGTGTAAAATTACTAGATTGAAATCATTTTTTTTTTTTAAATCGATTTAAAGTGCCAAGATTTACAGACGTAGAACTGACTGACATGCATTTTGTGTATGGGTTTTGCAATGGCAGTTCATTGGCAGCTGTAAGAAAATATCAAAGATGATTTCCCAATCGCCTGGACGTCGAATGTTTACTGATATTCACGGGAATTTGTCAAGCCATGGAAGTTTTCAGCGCATGCAGGGCTCAGGAAGGCCACTGGCAAATGAGCATACGAAATGTTTCAGAAATTATGGATATACCTCGATCAATAGTGAGAAAAATTTATGAATACCTATTTGATAGTTATCCTAAAAATAATAATTTTAGATAGGAAGAATGACAAGAATGCAAGGATTACATCCTTATCATTTTAAACGGGTGCAGCATTTAACGGAAGCAGATTTTTTACCACGAATCGAGTTTTGCCAGTGGATATTAGCAAATGAAAACACTATTCCTAGAATAGTATGGTCGGATGAGTCAATATTTACTAGGAATGGTGCTTTTAATTTCCATAACATGTATCACTGGTCAGATGAATATCCAAAAGTTGTTCGCCGTACAAATTTCCAACATCGATTTTCATTGAACTTATGAGCAGGAGTAGTTGGGGATCAAGTAATTGGGCCTATTGTACTTCCCAATCGTCTTATTTCAGAGGTGTATCTGAACTTTCTGCAGAATGAGCTCATGGATATAATACAATTTTATGTGCACCAGCAGTTTCAAGAAAATATGTTTTTTCAACATGATGGCGCCCCTGCACATTTTGGACGCAATGTTCGAAATTGGTTGAATGTCAATTTTCCAGACAGGTGGTTAGGCCGAGGAGGTCCTATAACGTGGCCGCCAGGTTCACTTGACCTAAATCCATTGGATTTCTATTTTTGGGGGTCACTAAAAGACCTAGTTTAGAAATAAGAAGAAAAAGGTTTTCCACTTTTCGGGCTACGAAATCATTAGTTCGTCGAGCGAGACTCTGTGTCCAACAAAATGGAAATTTATTTGAACACTTATTGTAAATCTAGTTTTAAGTATATCCAACTGTATGTCTTCTTTTTTAAACAAATTTCAATTTCGTTCGTAGAAAAAATGTATTTCTTTTGTTTTTGCCTAAATGTTAGCTATGTTGCAATAGAAATATGTATTTATGTAATATTTACCAATTATTAAATTAGTTTTTTCGTTGCCATAGCTAATTATTCAACAATTCATTTAAATTCGCAGTACATTTCCTACCATATGAAAATTTTTTAGTTTGATTTTATTCAAAAATAGCACAATTTATCGATATTCAATAGGAGTATCTTTTTGATGTAGAAAACCCTAAATTTTCAAATTCTAAAATTGAATTTCAAAAATAGAATCACACAAATATTTTGGGGCTAAAATAACCTGAGTCTGTCCCTGTTACATACGCTTCCAACCAAAACTGTCTAAAATTGTTAATATTTTTAAGTCCAGCATAGAAAACTAGGCTAGAATACCAAATTTCTTCCTATTTTAAGCTCTAGAAACCGCTGGTAGAATATTGCACACTTTTTTCGGGACACCCTGTATAGGTAAACAACTAAAAAAATATTTACTAATAAAAACTAAAACATAGAATGTTCTATCAGACTATTAGATAATTTATTCTGCATTTCTGTCAGAGTAGCTCAAAGAGACATAAAAAAGTATTTGCAGGGGTGATGAGAAGTTGGGATTAGCTTCTTCATATTTTATTTTTCCAGAGCCACATTATATGATTTTAAGTTATGGTTGGATTGGTTAATCTTATTTTGTATACAGTTGATTATATTACATCTATATATTCACATTTTGATATCAAGAGGCTGTTCTTTCTAGCACCAATGCTACCAAAAGAGATGTGTGAAGAAGATGTCATTAAGACTTGGTTAAAGCTTGCACCAAAAAGATATAAAACAAAATATTCATATATCTTTTTTATCCTCAGTAGTAATAGAGTCTAATATTGTGTTAACTAAAAACAATATTCAACTTTTCTGCTCACATTCTTTTTTTTGTTAGACAGTGAAAGGAACTATAAGAAAGTTATTACTGAGCATCAGTCATTAGACATGTTTGAAAGGAAGTTCAACAAATATTTAATAAAATAAAAGCCTCTCAGGTTGTGGCTTCATCTCAACAACAGTGTTGTAGAGTCAGGTTATTCAAATTTTGAAGTAACCAAGGGTATTTTGAGAAATATGAGACATTTGGAGCAAGACTTTGACAATAGTGATAATATTGAAAATATTGACCAAGATCTATGCATCACCTATATGCAGTTAGATTCTTCACAACTATGCAGCTCTAAGGACCCAAGAATACGTCAACGCTTAATCTGGTGCTCACGGAATGATTGTTTCATTCACTAAGATCATATTTAATTAGAAAGCTAATATGCAGTGAAATGTATTAAAACATATCTGCAAAAGTTGTATCTATTTTCTTATTTAGAACTAAGCAGAGTAAAGTTGTTAAGCCACAATATATCGATATAGATGATCATCAACTGCAGTTGAGTGAAAGTGTAAAATTCTTAGGCATCTATATTGATGAATTTTTAGATTGGACAACACATGTATTCAACTGCTGAAGAGGCTCAATTCCATTTGCTATGGTTTTAGGGTGATATCAAGATATCTAAATAATACGAGTATGAAAATATTGTACCATGCTAATTTTGAAAGTGTTCTAAAGTATGGGATTATTTTTTGGGGACACAATAGGTTTATTCAAAATATTTTTGTTGTTCAAAAAAGGGCAGTACGTCTGCTAAAGGGGCTAAATTTCAATTAAACTTGCAGGGGGGTGTTTAAAACTGAAAAAATCATGACTGTGTATGCCATCTATGTGTGAGTGTCTTATATTTTTTTTCAAAAATAAAAATTTATTTGAGCTTGAGGTGCAAACTGTTTATGATACTCGAACAGTTAATGTTACTTATCCAATACACAGATTATCCTCCAAGAAATTTACATGTGTTTAAAATTTTTTTAACAATCTACCAAATGAAACTAAAAACATAAACAGTTTACATAAATTTAAAAAGACTATTAAGCAATATCTAGTACAGTCAGAGCCTTATACAATAGATGAGTTCTATGGGAGTTGTAATAGTATAAGATAGTAGCTGTTTTAAGATAAATAACCATGTAACACAAAAAAAGGTCTCAGGTAAACTACTATAGTTATGGTTACAGTGACGCAACATTTCATTTTGTAGTGGCTATACAATTTTTTTAATGTCATTGTACAATTTGGAATATAGATTATTATTATTATTATTTATATATGTATATAAGTTAATATATAATCTTCTTTTATCAGTATTCATTTATTTTTAAATCTCACATAAGATTTATGAGCAGATATGATGGTTTGTATTCAAGCAATTGGCGAATTGTTAACAAGACATATTTAGAACTAAAATGCTCACAACTTTTGACAAAAATTACAATACTCGTGTTTTTAAGTTGTTATGATTATTCAAGTAGTTATTTCAAATAAAATTACTATAGTATTAATCCACCATTTTGTCCGCCCTTACAATTCAAACCACATATATGTTTAAATACTGAATATTGTAAACATTTCTTCCACCACAGTGGCCTTCTTTAGTACAATAACATTTGAAGGGTTGAGTGGATGAAGGTGGTAACATTTGAGTTAAAATGAGTTCAGTATGCTTGGTGAAGGCTATAAGTGATATTCTGTCTGGAAAACTGGTTGTTAACAATAACAGTTATTGTCCACAGTAGGACCAACCTGTTTTCCGGACAGAGTACTACTTCTAGGCATCGCCAAATATATTGAACTCATTTTTGAATCAAATGTTATTTACCACCTTCATCCAGTTAATCATCACGTGAAATCGTCGTCAGAAAGTAACGTCAATTCTCTATGACACGTCGCCCACAAATTAACGGGCTTTCCACGTGGAATCGTCGTCAGTAAATGACGTCGATTCTATCTGACATTTCGCCCACAAATTCAACGGACTTTCCACGTCGAAAAGGGCCGTGAATACTACGTAAAGAGGTACGTTCGTTTCACGTAAAATATACGTGTCCTTGCTGGCTGGGTATGAAATACGAACTTTTATTCATTTTCTCTGCCCCCCACTTGTTATCCTACCTTCGACACTTCATACTGACTGCTTTGAGAATCTGGGCTAGACATTCCAAGTCTACGAGCATTTTGAAGCGCAACTTCAGTTTTTGAGCTCCCTTGCACCTCCCCGAAGATACGCCATTTGCTCGCGTGGTGCGCATCCTCAAGTTTTGAGCACCCCCTTGTAGGTTAACGGCGTTGGGCGCAACACATTTCCACCGCATTTCTACACGATTTTCGTTATGGTATCGGTCGATAACATCGCAACTAAACTTTATTCTTTGATATCGGTCAACAGTGCAACAGGAGGTGAGACACGTTTTTATTATTGTAGCTGCATAATATATGCCAATGTAGAATGTTATCGGGTATTCGTTCTGATAAGCTCGTATTATTGTAAGTTCATGATAGGTTGAAAGGCAACATATACGTAGTTAATCGATTTGTATGGTAGCCGTGTTCCGCTGTACATGCGCGATTACGTAGCATAGCGGCAAGCAGTGGCGGAACACGTAAAACTGTTTACGGGTTTTTAGAAGAACTAAATATTGTCAAAGATGATATTGGAAGCCAGAAAAGACTGGGAATCTTTAAGAAAATTGTGATCAGAGAAATCTGAGAAGATTAGTAGAGATATCAGGAAAGATGGATGAAAATGAATTGCCACCAATTCTGTTGTTCTTATTATACCAGAAACACTGTATTAAAAAAAGAGTGGAGAAAAAGTGACATTGGCAACACATCAAACAAATGACTATCTGATAATTTTGAGGCCTACCTAGGAAATTGTTTTTTTAAAATAACTAGGATTTGTTACTGTCAATGCATGACGCATACATTTTTCGAATCAAAATTAAAAACTTTATTCATCCGTGCAAACATCCAATATGGCGTTCATAAGGAAAAATAAGTTGACGCTCTAGGAGAATAGACTAAACGTCATATTAAAATTCGGATTATGCCATCTTGTAGAGGAAAAACGGAGGCATTATTAATGTGCAGTTTATTCATAAGTAATATCATCAGGGTATCTAATTTTTTCAAAAAAAATCGAAAAAAAAAACGCTTTGCTAAGTGATATTTTAACAAGAAACATAAGCGCTGGTAGCAACAAACATTTTTCACCTGTACGAATATTTTTTGTTAAAAAAACATTACTTTGCATTGTTTTTGCGACTTTTTACAGAAAAAAAAATTAGATGCCCGAATGGTATTTGACAAGACTGTTTCATCAGTAACAGATTATTTTGCATTCACATAGCTTTCAAAACATACTACCTATTATCTTTCAGAATTTGGTTTAGTTGCTCTAAACTTGTAGTTTCGAAAAGCTCGTATTTCTTTGCCTTGCAGAATTCCGAAAACTGTTTCCATATTGATATATGGGTTTTAACGGTATTGTACGGTACACTTTTCTCAATCGCCAGATCAATATTAGTCAAAGAATCACTTCCAACGCGACTCATTTTCACTACATAAGCTGACTAGCACTGTTTAGACAGAATATTACAAAATTTATTAACAGTAAAATCAGAAAAAATGTTTAGTATCGTTTTCTGGTATCCTAGGAGACCATAGTTACTTGTTATCAAAGGTATTGTAATTTTTGGTGACAACAGCCGTCAAGTTTTGCCGCAGGTAAACACGAAAAAACTGCTGACACGTGCTGTCATACAATTTTTCCATCTAGAAACCAGTTGTAATTCAAAATTGTACGTTTGTGATTAAGACGAGGGAAATAGTCATTATATAATCCCACTACAAATACTAGAACGATTTTGGGAAAATTCTGTTTTTTCCATCTCTCTTCGGAAGTACTTTGGATTTTAAAACTTTCTTAGCGGAATTTTGTTATCTAGATATGTTTTTTATGTTTGCACAGATGCATTTCGTTGAATATGGGACTCCGTTGTCTGGCCGGTAAATCAAACTACCTATGCTTGAAATACTTTTTGATGACGCTGTTTTGGCTACCGGCTCCAGAAACGTTTCCATAATGTTACCGAAACCCAACCAACCTAAATATTTAAACAGAATCAGTACTTTTTAGTGGGTGGCTCACCTCTGGTCGTAAGAGTACACCTCGAAATGAAGCGCTTCTCAAAGCACTGATGAAGCAGTCTCTAATCAAAGTATACGAAGAAGCACCCAGAAATATATCAAAAGAAGATGCGCATGCGCTTCTTATAACTTAGAAAGTACCTATCGAAGTACTCCAAGTATTAATTGAAGGGAAAAGTTTAGTTCTCTCGAAGTACTACCTTGGGCTATTTTGATATACGCCAAGCATTTTGAACAAATTAAAAGTAGGTGTACGGAGTTGAATTAGTAAACCAGTCTCCAGTATCGCTTGAACTGCAATACCAAAGCAATATCAGAACAAAATGATAAATTTAAAAAAAGGTTAGGTGTTTGACACTAGCTATGATATACATCCGACTTTCAAAGGAAGTAAGAATTGCTTAGTTATAACACATCCAATTTTGCTTGGGTTGGAGTGCGTCAATCTATCTACCTGATCCCAGTAATACTGTTATGTTTTATATACTTGTACTACAACTTTCAAGCAATGTTGTTTTCACTATTTTGCAGATGAATTCAATGAGTGGAAACCACTGGGTCAAGAGCGCGATGGAAGCTTTATTTTCAGCTGGGTACATACCAAGGAACAAGAATCTCGAACCCACATAGGCATCTATGAATATGACAAGAATCTGTTGAGTCCAGTATACTCCTTTCCAAAGAAAGTGAATTGCACACAAGCTTCTACCAACAGTGACAAAACATTACTAGGTGGCCAGAACTTTTTATATGCAAAAAATGATGTATTCACATACATAAATACATCTATAATTGAGGGTCTTAGGCCAATACCTTTTTGGTCATTTATATTGTTCTTGTCCTTTGCTTGAGTTACGTAAAATAACGTACGTCAAAAACTCTATACTATACTCATATGAACATCCGTATCATGTGTATTGTATAATATCAATGACTCATAATGTCTATTATTTTGTAGCATTTGTGATTAAAGAAACAGATGAAGAAACAAAAGAATCTACATATAAACCATACCTCTACAAAATTGGAACACATTTTGATGATGCATACGACTGGAAGTTAGAACGTAATAGACAAATAATGGTACAATTTCTTTATCCAAGGGTTTCAGTTTTGTCAGAAAATCAACCCGCGAAGCTTTTGGTCTTAGTTCATCATGAATGTAAGTATAAAATATGAAATAAATATATCTTACAATCACGCTTGACTTCACGTAACTGATTGTAATGCTTCGTTAGCTTCAACCGGCTTTTTTATAACAACTTATGCGCCGGGTTGTGAGAGATTCCTGATTTTGTCATGCAGATATTGAGTAATTCATCACAGAAAACCAATACATACTATTCTGAATGCACAACCGCCATGTACGATCTCATCATATCCATGCATCTCGCTGTTTTCTTGCAATTTTAACATGCATTCCATGAAACATTAGGTATAGGTATACTAGAGATCATTTTCAAAACAATTTGCATTCATCAGATTCAGTTAGGGAATGATTAGTTGCCAAACAAATTTAAACTCTATTTGTGCGAAATATTCATTTTAACATCTTTACAAAGTCAACTGGACAGTTGGTAATGCAATGCAGAGTGAGTTTTTTTTAGATTAGAGAGAGTAGAAATAGCTGACAAGTTTCGCAGTGGAGAGCTGACGATCCCTCATTATATCAGATTGCCATGTATATAAAATACCTTACCGTTTTTCTGGCTTATCAAAGCAAGAATGTCCAGTTTAAAATTGCCCAACCTTTATGTCTCATGCATGCATTGTGTCATTTTATTATAGATATATTCCAGTACCAAGTAAAACTTAAAACAGACAATATAGAAGATGACTGCCTCTCACAAGAAACACTAGTCGGTAAATTCCTGTGGGCTCAGTGGGATCCTGAACAACAAACACTATATTACATACACAATCGTAAAAGAAATAGGATCATTGCGTACTCTGAAGGTGAAGAGGAAAGTAATGCAGGAAATGATAAAATAACACCGACCCTTTCAGGCTTACAGTTCAATGATGAAGTACCTCACGAGACGGTGGTAGGTAGACAAATGAGGTGTGAAATATTTAAGGCTCTTTTTGTTTATAGTGTTATTTACCGTCAAAACTCTTTGAACACCTATGATACAGAGTGAGCAATAAAACCGTCAACATTTAAAAATACCAAAGCGTGCGAGGACGGAGTATTGCTCCTAAACGAAAACTACCAAGAGAAAACTATTTGTGTATTATTATTATGGTATCTGGCGGCATACTTCTAAAATAGTCACAATTATACACGGTGTCCCAATTTTTACCCACATATCATAGTAGATTGATTCTTTATACGTATAAATTCTGGTTATTAGTTATTGAATTCATGGGCATTTTATAAAAACATTAAAAGTTCGACAGCATGCATATCTCCTATGTTGACAGGTGGAGTGGTGAATTGCGTGTCAAATGTTTTTATCATACTCATTTTTAGCCTGATTCATCAATTTTTCGAATTATTCTTATCGATCAATACAGCGTGATCAGAGACGCAACATGTACTTTTGCGCAAAATGTTAATTGGAACGCCCTTTATGTTTTTTCACTATCGAGTCGGACCGAATATAAAGTTGTTGCCAGTTTGTTCAAAGGGTTTCTCTGATATCGCTATTTGTTAAAAAAATTGGATATTTCTCTATTCAATACAGGTCACATCATCCATGGAAACAAAAAACAAGTAAATGATGATTGACAAATGTCTGAAAATGACTCCTATAAGTATATAACTAAAATTTGATCTATTTTACTATTGTTTAAATGAAGAAATATCCAATAGCTATAACGCAGAAACCGTTTGAATAAACGGGTAACGACCTTATATTATAAAGTGCTCGTTACATAGGTCTAGTCATTTGGAGGCACATGGAAAGCAAACAAGCGATGGGTCTACTGAAAAATTCAATATTGGGATGCCATCGTGTTTAGAATGTAATGGGAACTCAAAAAATAAAGAACGAGGACGCATAACTAGAAACGAAAACAAGAATGTACAAACTAATTGAGTAATGTATCCTCACAAAAGATTGCAATTAAAACAATAAACAATTTAAGATAATGGAAAATCAGGGGGGGATTGCAAGTCAGTCTGGTTTTGGTCCGCGAGCGGGTCGGTTGATGGTTGGAGTTACGACGGAAACTTTTCCGTGGACGTCCTTGCTTGGCTACTTAGAAGCGGACAATGGGATTTCCTGTTGCCGTACGTAGGAGTCGGTAGTACCGCGATTAGCGAAAGTACTTAAAGGTGGCAGTATCACATGTGTTTTTCGTACAATAGAGTCAATTTATATGAATTTATCTTTTAATGTAGGGTTCATACACACAAAGTGGAGATAAGTCGACGTCCTTAGGTGGCCACAAGATGCGGTCTCACATGGAAATATGCTTTTATGGAAGTATTTCCTGCAGCTGTGGTCTCTCAAATACTCACGATATTCCATATATTCAGTAGAGTTAACAGTCAAGAAGAACCCTCAAATAGGTGTCGCCAGAATGCTTCAAGTTTAACGATTATCTTGTTTTTCGAACTCTTTTACCAATACCTTTAGGAAAAGGAGCACATGAAGACTTTTTTGCAGAAGAAAAACATATTGGACTTCTTGTTAGATTTGCTGCTGACCTGTCTGTTGCACATTGCACCCTTTGCGAAGATTGGAGGTCCGACCAAGTAAAAAACCTCTAGTGCTGCTTCTGAGCACAGCAAAAGTTACGCGTTAACATTACTTCGTTGCTGTTGATAACGTCCATGTGCTGACGTCCGTCAGTAAGTCTGGACTTTGCTACTTGACGATCCGTCTCCCCTGTGTAACCGTAGATTTCTATTCTTTCTGAGACCATGAGGTCTATCGGCGACATAGCGGCAATGACCACCACAGCGTCTAATCATTCTATGCGGTACGCACTAGATACTCCATGGCTAATTTTTTCTTTCCCATTCTGAACAAATAGTGAGTATACAGAGAGCACGTTGAAATAAATTTTGGTGGAACCCAGAAATAGATAAAGAGATGAGGCGAGATACGTTATATGAAATAGAAATTTGGACCAAGACTGGAGAGGATTGGATTAACTTCACAACGCAAGGCAATATACTTAATACATATTTATAATATTATATTTTCTTTCTTGATAGTATCAGCAACATAAAATGAATCAGTATTGCAAAATCAAATTCAAATTAAGAAAAATAGTAGGTATTATGGACAAGAAAGAGAGTAACACAGATTGCATAACAGTGAGAATTTAGAACATTTCATTTGAAGTGACTGGAAACAAAATGCTGAGGTGATCAATCAAAGCTGGAGTCTGGAATATCTCCCAATAACTGAAAACTTATCATGGTTATACTAATTGGGAAAATCAGAAGAGAAAAAAAAATGCGAGGATTTTCGACCCATAAATATGCTCCCACCATACGAAAAGTTATTAGACATGTGTGTTCATGAACAACTAGTGGACTATCTAGAAAAAAAAAATAATATACTTAGCGCTTACCAGGCCGGTTTCAGGTGCAAGAATTCCTGTGGAAGTGCATTGCAATCTGTTCTGTTTAACTGGAAAAATGCATTGAACGATAGAAAACTAACTGGTGTTGTTTTTCTGGACTTCAAGCAAACTATTGATAGACAATTGCTATTACTCAAATTGCAAAAATATGGTATCATGAAATGATTCGCCGATTACCTCAGGGGTCATCAACAAGTGACTCAGAATGGTGGAAAATCATCAGCAGGAGAAATAGTGTATGGTGCTCCTCAAGGGGCAGTTTTGGACCCGACATTGCTCATTCTGCACATATTGTAAATGTAGTTTAAAAATGTAACATGCTGATGTTTACGTATGGCACAATTATTTATTTCATTAGGAACAGTGCAACAGAAATGGTAGAAACTCTGTGCAGAGAACTACGGTCTACAGTTGAATATACAAAAAACAAAATCTATGATTATAAAAAATACGCATAGCAATGTAGGCATAGTAAACAATGTGGTCATCAACAACTGAATTATAGACAAAGTTAGTAAGTTTAAATGTTTAGGCTGTATAATAGATGAAAATGTGACGTTTACTGAACATTACAATTACATAACAAACAAAATTGCAAAAGAAATTAATCTATTAGGTCGCTTCCAAAAAATTTGAGAGTGTGAGCCAAGCTGGTATATAAATCCATAATTGCTCCTCATTTTTACTACTGTTCTACCCTGCAGTTTTTAATGAAGGCACATACTTTGTTGTAATTGATACACAAGAAGAATAGATATGTTAAACTGTGTTAATGCGTTAAGTATAAGACAAACAATAATTTAGAATACTGTCACGACTGTGACGTGGCGAGCAAGTTTGATGAAATGAAACAGGCACTTACTTTTTGGCTCAGGGAGGTCCAGTGCCACGAAGAGAGATTCGCCCCGAGTGATCCTAGGGCAGGAATCATTCCACGTGTCGACCCATCCAGTTTTTATAAAGCGACAGAACCCCCACCGGGGGCGAATAATACACATTTGCGGAGTATGCATTATTTGCCGACGATGTGCACATTTCTCAGCGGATGCGGTTCAGGATATCTATCGACATACATGGCGCCTATGTGGCGCGTGTAAGACGTTACTGGGTGACCCTCCCCCTCCGGATGAAGCTGGCCCTCTAACGTCAAAAATTTTACAACAAATGACAGTCAATAATGTAAAATGCAAAGTTTATTTCCCTATTGTCCCTCACAATTTTTTGAGTCCGACACTGCTTATACTCTGAGACTGCACCTCGGGACTTGCTGTTCCGGGACATTTCTTATCTGGTAGAATGCTGATTATCAAGGATTGTTTCTTGCAGCCCCGAGAAATTTGAAACCAAGCTGTAACGGTCTGGCGTGCGTGGGAAGCTGCTGTGATGACTAGAGACTTATAGTTCTAAAGTACATCTTCAACTTTACAGTTACATGGACCTCCTCGGGGGTGTGTATGTGACCCTTTGGTTGTGAATGTGTATGTTGAGTGGTGTGTTCTGTTGTTTGGATTCCAAATTACTTGGATTGCCTTTCGTCTTGGTGCTCATTGGAATATTTTTCTCTTATGGGTACGTAGTTTTGGCGTTTCAAAACCTATTGTTTGGACTGTGATAGGTATCGCTTGACAACCTATCGTATTGGCAGTGAAAATTATCTTTCGATGGTTCAGCTCATCTTTCTTTTTTTTTCAACAAGTTCGCCTGTACCGTAGGCACAGGGTGCTATCAGCCGGGCCAGCTGAACCCGTGTTGTATTAAAGGGGTATTGCTCTATGAAATGTTGAACCTTTTAGTTCCTAGACATCTATTAGATAATTGTAAATTTGTAAGAGACATTCGCCAACATGACACAAGATCAAGAAATAATTTATACATAGATAGGGTAGGTTCTAGCTCAGGACAAAACCGTCTATATTACAAGCGATTGAAACAGTACAGTGAATTGCCTCAACATATCAGGAACTGTAGCAATGTAATTAGTTTTCAAAGGGACTGTAAGGAGTATGTTAAAATGTTAATTAGTTAGTATTTTATATGTGATGTTGTGAATTTACTGCTAGCCTAGTGCTATTAATAAAGGATAATTATTAGTATTCTTACAGCATGTGTTTCTGCTGAAATTCAATTTGACCTAACCTGTGCTTAACAAATAGTGAAACAGCTTGAAATGCAGATAGGATTCAAAATCCTATTTATTAATGTAATTTATTTTTTCAGCTGAATATACCGTTAAATTTACCTCATTTAACAGTTTCAACAAGTTCATGCCTCATTTATGAGGACGATGCAATACCATTGAGGATACATGACTGTTCTTTGGACCTTATAGTCCTTACTGACCCCAACGGCATAGTATGCGTATGTCACCATTACCTATATCAGGTGAGTTTAATGTTCTACTCTGCTACTCCTCAAACCCGACTCCGAGATGCTTTAAATTTCAGTTGATACGTTTTTTGATGTTCACCTAATTTGCGAGAAACATATATATATATTTTTGCTTGTTATTGTTTTCTGATAGCAATGTTGTTTTTTAGCCAATACAACCGGTGGTAGATTTGAAAGATGAAGATAGTAGTCCAGTGCATTTTGCATATTCAGTAACAGTGCTACACCAAAGTTGTGTTTTGCACTGCGTCATCCCTGACATACCTTGGAACAAGGCTAAGAAGATTCGCCCATTATTTAAGATTGAAGGTTTGTTTCCATGGTAATCTTGACTAGAACTGCATACGAGTATATCATATACCTTACATCATAAATATTACAGACCTATAAAAATGTACTGTACTGCACCTGAAGAAGTTATAGACAGATAGATAGACAAATATGTTTTATTATCTGGAGAATAAGTTCTTAATGACAATATGACAAAGCTAACTTGAATCTAAACTATGACATAATTAATTAAGTGGATCTCAAGTAGATGAATTGTAGAACTCACACAAGGTATAACATGGTTTACATATTAAAAAGTTTTTAAGTTCACGACGGACTATCTTTAAATTGTTAATTCGTTTGATAGCATCAGGGAGACACATGTAAATTTTCAGATCATTATAAATTATTGAGGCTTTCAGGTACTACTAATTTAAGATCTTGTTTTCGTCTAATATTGTAACTTATATTTAATGTTTCAAATGTAGATTTATTTAAAAAATAAGCTTTGCTGTTTTTAAAATGAACAATGATACTTCAGTCATTATTTTAATATTTACTCATAAAGGCCTGCATATAGCTTTAGGATTGCGTTCAGCCAAAAGGGAATGCTATATGTCAATCTACTTCCAAATGAGGCAAAGTAACTGCTTAAGGCTGAGCTGTTCCCTACGTTGAAACTAATTGTCCTTATAATAAAGGAATTTTTGCTAGTTGAATAAGCATTTTGTTTACATAATTAGTAAAGTCTAATTTATCATCAATGGTCAGTCCCAAAAATTTGATGGTGTCTGTTATGTGTATTAATTCATTATTTAAACTTATGAAATTAAGAGGACATTTAAATGTCTTATTAACGTTAAAAGTCATGTAATTGTTGTCAGACGATTTTTTGTTTGATTTTATACACAGGTTCAAAATAAACGCAATAAGAAAAATGTTTGTCAAATTCGTAAGGTCATAACTTTTTTATATTTTACCGGATTTCATTGATTACTTCGGCAAGCGGTAGGTACGGTACAATCATTGGCTTTATTGTGTAAATATGAGTTCTTGATTGTAGTCACGGTTTGACTTGTTGTACAGGGTAAATCAAAATGATGCTTCATTACCCCAACTTTGACACTCTTCAGTTGCCAATTATCAAGAACCGCACTTTTTTTCAATCTGATTTTTTATTTACCTTAATGCTTGTATATACAGTCGTTGAGGCAAATGAAGATCTTTACCACCAATTTTGATTATTCCTTTCATAACTTTTTAATTCGCGGACGAAGTCAAAAAGTTTTTGATACGGATATCTCAGGTTTCTTCCCAGCTGCTTCCTCGATTGAGGAGACGTATTCGTGTTGTTATATTATCTACGACACCATTTGTTGGCTAAAATACAGTACTATGGCTTTAAAGCCGTAAAATTGTTGCGCTATCAAATACATCAGTGATAATCTTCGAGTCTTATGTCAAAGAGGAGCTCACAATTGTATCGATACCAGACTCCTCCCCAACTCTCCACAGCTCGGTTTGACATTCTGAATGTCCTGTACAACAAATCAAACCGTGGCTGCAATTAAGAACTGATATCTACACATTGATGCCAATGAGTATACCTACCGCCTGCCAAAAAAGTCAATAAAACCGAGGTAAAAGTAAAAATGTTATGACATTCCGAAATTGACCAAAATTTTCCTTGTTGCGTTTATTTTGAACCTGAGTGTATATTGTATTTATGTTAGGTTCATTAAATCATTGATGTAGACTATATACGAATAGGATCGGATCTAATACTGATCCTTGAGATACCCCTGCGTTTATATTTAATTTATTTGAAATATAATGTCTTGATCATTTTACAATTTGGAGTCGATTATTCAAATATGTTTTAATCCAATTGGGTGAAGTTCTAGTATAACTCTGTTTATTGTGTTTAATAGTATATCGTGATTCGCACAGTCAAAAGTTTCGGAAAAGTCGCAAAAGGGAGCTATTGAAATTTGTTTATCGTTTAAATTTGAGTATGAGCGTGATTCATCTTGGGTTACCCAGAATAACCGCAGTATTTATTTGTTATTTATATATGAAAATAATTTCAGGAGACCATTTGTTAATCATCATTCCCGACATCTGTACTCACCTCTTGGATATAGGGCTAATACACGAACCATGTTGTCACGTCACCACCAAACCACTTATAACTGAAACACAACTGCTTTATCTGGCACCAATAGTGCCATTAGAACATGGTTCAGTCCTTAATTTGGCTAACCTGGATCTCATCAGTTTAGAAATACCCACTAACATGCTGGTCGATACTTTCAAAAGCGATACGTTACTAGAAAATAAGCTTTCGATTCTTCACTATTTGATATTGCACAGTGGGCATATGGATACAGCCTCCGAGGTACGTATGATATATCATAAAATCAGGATTAAGTGGAGGAACAGATGTGTGTCACATCATTGGTGCAGATCTGAACTTTGCCCTCCGCGAAACGTTCTTTTTTAGTATGAATGTAAGTTTATTTGTCGATGTTTGGCGAATTTTTATTTGTAATTTAATTATATGGAAAACTACTAGGATTACTTGTTTGAAACATTCAATCAAATATTGCGCGAGATACATTTTTAAGTAATAATTTAGTCGTTTGCAATACTTGAAAGCAACACTTGCGATAATATATGACGAATGTTTGCTTTACCTCAAATTTTAATACTTTTTCCCTCAAAACTCAAACAGCGTGCTCATTTTTTTGTTAAGGTAGCACGCTAAGGAAATACTGAAATCACGAAAAAACTTTAAATGGAAGAATAAACTTCAGATACTACATAGTAGGTACATTTTTGTGGTGTCAGGTATTCCTTGGCCCTCTATTACAGACGGAATAATATTTATAGTTTTCGTTAATCGGTCCTGTTGCGATAGGGTAAGCGTCAAAAAAATAATATTATCATTGGTCCTTTTATAACTTGGAAAGTGTCACTGGATTTTGGAGGAATTTTGAAAGGCCTGTCTAATGGTATTATGACGAAAAAATCTATAATCTCATCATTCAGTCACTTTTGTATAACTCCAAACACCGCACGAGCAACATGAGGTGTGCAATTCGAAAATATGTGGAGAGGAATCTGCGTTAAAAACATCACAAAACTTATTTGTTTAGGCTAATTAGCCAAATACGAACCCTGTTATAAAAGAAATTATACAGAAGGATTTATATATTCTTTAGGGTGAATGTTAAGGGCCTTCATCTACAAATGAAGAATTCTGGCCAACTTTTTTTATCAAACTTTAAAGTTATAAGTCTATAGAACAACTGGGAACTGGATGGAAATGGGTATGTCCAGTTCGTAGCAGCAGATAATTGGTTATTGCAAAATATTTCAACAGTAGTATATCTCCTAATAGTTTTGATATAGCATATTACACCAACTACGGAAACAATTTCTCTTTGTCGATATTCATTCGTTGTTATTCCACAATTACTTGGAATTTCGTCATATAGCCAGAAATAGTTTTGTAGAATCAGTAGGATATAACCTAGTTTGTTCTAGAATAATTTGAAAAACAAATTTGTCATATATACCTGTATTCACGGTTGTGATCTCCGAAACGGTAGGAGATACGGGTCGGTTGCATGGTGGCAAAGTTGCGTATTTATATACTTTAGAAAATGCATTTGAAAAGTTTTGACGCTTCGAGTATATCCGGAAATACATAGAAAAGGGAACGAATTTTCCCAAAACCGTTTCTAGGTTTCCTGAATTTATTCGAGACAGGATTTCAAAATAAACTGCACATTAACATTGCCACTTTTTGATCTCTGCAAGGTGGCATAAATAGAACCTAAATATGTTTTTTCGTCTCTTATCCCTCGCTGAACTCTGATTTCTCCCACGTACACCATTTTTTGTATAGGCGAATAGGTTTTACTTCTGATTTCAAATATGTCATACATTATTATAAATTTATTTTCCTGAGTGAACCGTATTGTCATTTATTTCATAGAATATATATCAAAGATTATAACAACGGTATACTTTTAAAAAAACTGAAAGCTAAAACGTCAGACCGATATTCTAATTATGCTACCACGTACAAGAGTAAACTTAGAATATTATTGTTGAATTTTTTTGAGATTTGTAGACAATGTGGATGTTCGCAAAGTTTTGTTTCGAACTAAAGCCAGAAAAAAATAAAAAAGGCTTGAAAATAGTTTGAAATTCCAAACTCTCCCAGTTGCGCAACTTTGCTCCCATTAAGTACTCCGTGTCGTTTAGGCGAATGTGACAAGATCAGAATTTACTGTGATCCGTTTGTCCACAAATGCCCAGCAAATATTTTTGGCCCAAAAAAGAGTGGTTAGATGCATGATGGGAGTCAGCAGTAGGCATTCTTGTAAGGATATTGTTAAGCGCCTTAAGATTTTAACTTTACCATCTTTATTTTTATACGAAACGGCTGCGTATTTATTAACAAAACTAAGTTTTTAAACAATTTTAACTCGTACTAGACCAGACAAGCTGGAGGCTTAAATGTGTATTTTGCCAAGTTTAGGATCGGCGTCAGATCTCCGGAAATACTGGGTCCACGAATTTTCAACAGGCTACCAAACCATATTAAAGAGTATGGAGATATAATTTTAAGGCTAAACTGACAGATTTTCTTGTGTTATGTTATGTTATGATTTATTTGTGTGTTTGATTTATACATATATTTATTTTGTGTTGTTTTATTAGTTGTTATTCCGACGAATCCTATACATGCTTTTCAATGTTTCTTAGGATAATAAAAGAATTTGAATTTGAATATATTTATCATGAGATGTGATATTTGTTGACGTGTAGCCTGGACGTCAGTAATTATTGATATATAATGTTATGTAGAAATCCATTGTTGGTACGAAGCACAGTAAATACTGATCGTGTCACATTCGCTTTACCGTTTCCCAGATCCCAAAGGCGAGATACGAATTTTAAACACACCTAACATATAGTGCTTTTAGCAAAATACCCCTCTCCTCCTTTACGCACCCTAGGTACGCCATTAGTTTTTACTGTAGAAGTAATGTACCAACACCACCCAGAAAAACCAAAGTCCTCAAAGATACATTTGGACATCTAAATATGAAGTTGATCGTTTCACTTTTTTCGTTTGCTTTTGTCACAAGGTTGAATTTGAAAACCTTTAAAGGTAACAGATTTTTTGAGAATGTTCAGATTCGCGATCGTTAGATGCCCGAACGTCAAAAATCAGAGCGGTGGATGAATGATAATCACAAAATAGCAATTTCAGAAGCGTTGGAAATGGAGTGAAATGGTATTTTTCCATAAGGGTCAATCACTTTGCTCAATTAACGGGTACTACCGACATCGCAAAAGCCTTCAAGCCAAATCAAAAATATACTACCAACGCTACCGAGTACCATATAGATATATCTTCGGAACCTGCCTGTGGAACCTATATGTTGCTGATCTGCCGGTAGAAAACATTGCAGGGCAAACGATGTCACAATACGCAGATGATTTGTGCGTGCTGAATGAATCCAAACAGCAAAACACAGCCGTTTTGAGAGCAAAGTGGGCAATGGAAGGAATATTTTAATACTATGATCGGGGGGCGTTGCTTGTAATAATCTGAAAACTGACTATTGTATTTGGACAACCATGAACGTACCATAGACAGATCAAGTTTAGCGGGAGTGGGGAGCGAACAGTCGTTACCCCCGTCCTTGACCAAACGCTTGGGCTCAATCTTAATAACATAGTAAGCAAGGACGGCCTCATTAAAGAAAGAATCCTTGAGGCTCGATTAGCCTAGCTACGCTTTGTCTCCAATCATTGGCCTCAGCTCGAGTGTTTCTATACAGGGTGTTTCAAATTCGACCCTCACCACTGGGATCCCGGAAACTGTAAGAGATACGAAGTTGCTTAAATGGGGTCAAATTTGCGTATTTAAGTAATCAACAAAATACCGCTTAGAAAATTAAAATCCCACTACAAATAAAGTCAGACAAAATTTAAAACGATTTAGGGAAAATTCACCATGAGAAGTGAAATTGAAAATAATCGAAGCACGCATCTACACAGTGCTAGCTTATGGACTTACGCTATGTTCCCACGTATAAGTAAAAGTAGCATTCTTAAAATAGAGAGGTACCTTAAGAATATATTAAATAAAAGAGCAGTTCCCCTACTTTTTTCATGCCGTCACTCATTTGGCCACCCTGTATATAATATAAAGGTTTCAAATAGATTGATTTCAGGAATGTTGCATTTCATAAAACTATTATCATTTCAGTTGATCTTATGGCAATCAGAACGCCCATTCACCCTAGGCTATCCACAGATGCTTAAAGAATACCTGATAGCAACCTCATATGCAGCTGTACAACGAACTCTTCCAACAGATGCCAACAAATTGATCAACTTACTACCAATTACATCTCAAAAGATAGGCTTTGAATACGAAATTCAGCAAGATGAATACATTATAAATCTATCTCAAGACGTGCTTTGGAATGCCTCGATGATGCTTTTGTCTCCACAACAAAGGATAGTGCCATATCGAACAGATATTTGGGTAAAGCTATGGGAACAACTTGCGAAGTTATCCAAGGGAACACAGCGGTTCAAGCCTAGTCAGGTTGTTGAGAAGTTGATGGTGTCACTAGTTTGTTATCAGGTAAATGAATAGATACTCGTATAGACTTTCCTTTTCATAAACAACCACGTTTGTAATAACAAAGCTAATATGTGGCGAAACAATAGCAAAAAAGTAAAACAAAAATTGAAATAGTACTCACCGTTCATCGAAAATAAATTTCAAGTAAAGCTCTATCACTTACAAGTATTATTTAAAGTTGTAATCGGTTTCATACACTAAACATTTCATTTCGCCCTAAACAAAAAAGAAATCACGAGAAGGATTTTTAAAAACGATATGCATGGACTCGCGAATCTCCGGTAGTATTTCGAAGACACCGTAAATTAAAATAACATACAATTCCGATATTGCTGTAAGAGTGTGCAATTTTTTTAGAACCAATGTGTAAAGGTTTTGTTGCGTCTTTATCTTTGATCTTTGAAGAAATACACAACCCCAAATGTTGCACAGTTTGGAAAAAGTAAACAAACTCGTGTTTCTGAATGGAAGAGCGTTCAAGAAGTGTTTACAAACAAAACATGTGACAGAGCAGTTCTTGATATTCTTTACCAAATAAATAGTGAGTATTTTTCTTCGATTCCTTTTTACGTTTTGTTTTTGACTCTGAAAAGGAAAGTCCCAACCTTGGGTACACCATGTATAAATGACTTTCTATCTTTAAAATATTCGAATGTGTCTATCTGGTAATTCCATAACTCTGTATTGATATTTTAGCCAGAAGTTCTATCTAGATGTTCAACACCATTATCTCCTAGTGGTGGAGCATCTTCGACACTTAATGATTTCCTGAGCAACCAGTGTAATAAAAGGAATCAGGTTGATGCGCTTCCTTTTTTTGAGATCGACAGCTGCACCGCGAGTAAACAAGAACACATAATATCGGTGGTAAGCACCATTTATTCCTGATTCATGACAATTAAAGAAATAATATGGAAGTGATTTGTCCATCGTGTTTATTTATTTATACATAATTGCCTAATTATAGTGTGCATACAAGAACCACATAAAAATGGCGTCAAGTAAGTTGACTCTACACTTCCCACGCTACGCCGTTCATAACGGATTATGCAGAAACTCTGCCCTCTGATTAAAAGTCGGTCAAACAAGTCCATACAACACGGTTAGAGCATAGGAAACACCAATGCCGGAAGCTCCGCTGTTCGATTTTCGTCCGCCGGCGCGCATGACGTCACGCGGAGACGGTTGATATGGATAACGTGCATATTTTCACCTACAGGCCAAACGGCTGGACGTATTTTCACATTTCTAGCTCCACAATAGAGCGTGTATCGTCACTTTACTGTAAAAACAAGATTTTTCTACATTACCTATATTTTAGTATGTTCTGTGGAACAGGATTAATATGCTTATGACGTTAATACTGCACTACATTTATTCATTCTTATTTCACAGAACATCCTACATACTAACTACATGCAAGTGAAGAAAAATGGAGTTATCATCTTTTTGAAGTAAGCTGGCCGTATAACAATAAATGGCAATCTTAGTCTAAGCGACAATTGTTCTCCATTTCCTTTTACGATTTTTCTGGTCTTTCAAACTTTTACTCAGTTCTTTAATCCGGAAGAACATCCTTGACCTGAAAAATAGTTTCTTAGCTTTTTCAGGGCAGTCAATGTTGCTGCTCTTCAACAGAAGTTCGCCTATAAAATTTTGCTTTTCTGTCACTATTACTGATACTCCACTCTCACTAAGATGGTCTATCCAGGAGTAAGTTTCATTTGAGGAACTTTTCAACCTGCAATTTATGGCAAACAAATCCGGCCAAATTTTTCAGACTATCATACTCGAGCTCATCCATTTCTTCCACTAAAACTTCCTCGTTATAGTCAGCTGATACTTCAGGTGCATTCAGTTTATTCGTTAATGATGCGGTTAGTGGAATGTCCGGAGTATCCTCTTCGTCTACGCTGAAATACTCTGAGTATGCGCCTTCGTTTCGCCCCAAAATATATGACCTTATTCCATACTTAAACTCTAGGGGATAAGTAGAGCCCTTTGCCTTCTTTCGTAAGTACTGTTCCGCTTTTCCCCATCAACAGATGTAGATGGTACAGGTGATGATACAGACTTGGGTAAATTTTCCATAGGAATGGCATTATCTTTTAGAGCACGTTAATTTTTAGGGGTGTCACCCAAAAAGGTATGTTTTAAATTGACCTTATAGGCACTTTCACAAAAATGCTTCGAGCAAACCCTAGCGCTTTTTACATTGACTTTGTCTTTTCTTTTTGTAAGATATATCCATTTGTCGCTAAGGTTTGGGTCTTGAGGAAATCTGCAGAACTTCATGTCTTTGCAAGGATTCCGTTTAGACTGGTTGTCATCCCACAACAGAATACCACATTTTTAACAATTTATCAACCACACAGGCTGTATAAAGTATGTATGACTAATAGAACAGGTCACAAAAACACCAACAAATCGCACTATATAGTATTAACCACGATACACGTGAACTGCAGTAACGTTACGACAATCCTGCCGCTGGTAACCACGAGCCAAAAACTCTCCGGGTGACGTCACGAAGCTCTGCCCACATGCGCAATGTCCTATCCTTCAGTGTATGTGTATCGTGGGAAACACTATTCTGAATTAAAAGAACACTCACCAAGGCCGGCAGCATGCCGCCAGGAGCAGCAGCCGGGCCGGTAGTTACGTTAGGGTTGAGTAGGGACATCTGGACAGATGATGACGGATAGACAAATCAACATGAATGAAAATGATTGTTGAAAAGGTTTTGTGTAGAATTTTCTGTCGTAGAATCTTCGAGAATTGAGCATGCACCTGCTGAAGCAAAGCACCGAGAACAGAATGAACAAATGGCAATGGCAGAGTCAGACACCTATGCACGTGCATGCTGTAGCGACTAGGTATATAACGGCACAACTAGATCAATCTAGACAACTGTGCCAACTACTGTGTAAAGCTGCAACGTATGAACCAAGACTTGAGATGGACAAAGGATTCATTTTCATGTAAGCTATATCGAATGCGCAATAAAAACGATAAAGTGTCAAAGAAATTGCTGGTTCTGAAAACCTGGAGGGGGGATGTTAGTTGAGGGTGTGCCTTATACAGGGTGTCTAAAATAAGAATCCTGTCGATCTCAACATCTGTGGGAGATACAGCTTATGTTAAATTAGGAAAAAGATACGTTTTTTGAGGCGTATTTACATGCTGTTAAGAGACTTGTAAAAATTTCGTGGGTCATTGAGATATCTGGGAAAACTAAAATTTGGCCAAATCATTATTTTTTTCTTACTCTAAGAAATGTCAAGAAACTAATGAAACTTGTCCATTGGTACTTTTTGGGCACTAGATGATGGTATTTTCAATTTTTGTGCCCGATATTTCGTTTTTAAGAAACCATCATAAACTTAATTTTTTGTATGGTCCGAAAAAAAGTACATCCTGTATCTGATAGCATCTTTTTATACGAATTCAACGATGTATCACATGTTACATTTGTTTTCTTAGTGATGAAGAAAAATGTTTTTGTATTTTAAGTAGGCGCTGCAAACAAATGCTTGATGTACGATCACAACTTAGATAACAATCAGCTATTAAACTCTCCCTGTCAGTGTCAAAAACGGCAGCTATTTCGGCGCAGAAAGTCGAATGTAAATTCCCCCAGTACAACGATGAGGTTTTAGTGCTCAGCAGCAGCCGTTTTCGACACTGACAGGAGAGTTTCATAGCTGATTGTTATTTAAGCTGTACTACGATTATGTGATCACTGACATAGTTGCAGTCACCGTTCTTAGCGGGTGAAAGTATCCCTCTATATATCTCCATCTCCCTCATACATAACGTATATATGCAACCTACCCCTGTGTGTGAACGTTTGTGCGGTAAGCTCAAAGACATACGTTTTTAGTTGTCTTTGTCGTTACGTATGAGTGCGCTTCAATCGTATTTGTCAGAGTGACTTGACATCGGCGTGCAATTTTAGTTGTCATGTTACGAATCTTTAATATAAAATTGTACAATGGCCGGAAATACGCTCAATAGAGAAGGCCGACAGCTCGTGCTAAATTTATTAGAGTATTTTCAGGAAGAGAGTGAAGACAGCGGTCTCCTGTTATCCACTTCATGTGTAATGGCGAGAGTAGCAGATGCGCTGAAGATTAGTCTGCGTCCATGTATGGAGACTCGATCTGTTTACTTATTTCATTTGGCTTTGATGACGTAACCGCCAAGAACGGTGACTACAACTATAGATGTATATGGTGAATACCGAACAAAATCCGATGCACGTCATCAATCGTGAGCTGTGCATTGTTGCCAGACATTGCACTTTTTTTAAGCAAATATATCAGTTAATGAAATAAATTTGGATATATACCCAATATTTTGTATACTTTACACCACTTCACACTAAATGTTGTGCTGAAAAGAACAATTTTTAATTGCAAGGCCACGATTCAAAGCTTAAATAGCTCAAAAATTCACAAATCAAACAAGGACTAGTACGACAAAAGGACAATGACAACTGGTGTGAACAAATAAGACGCGGCAACCACACATTTCTCTGTACGACGCTACCAACCGAACCGAGAACGGGAAATTTCCATTTCAAGTAGCAATGTGACCTTGAATGTTGCCTATTATTGTTGGAGACCATGCTTTTTATGAATTGCATCACTAATAACGTGCATCGGATTTTGTTTGGTATCCACTATATATGCATATACACATTGCTTACAGAGTGTTTGTTATCTAATAGAATTTTTTTATACGAATTCAACGATGTATCTTATTTACATTTACCTTCTTGGTTATAAGGAAAAATGCGTTTTTTCTGATTTTTAATTTTTTTAAGTAGGTGTTGCAAACAAATGCTTGACTTGACCTAAAACCTGTCACCGAGTATTGTTATTATTGTGTATTGTTATTACTGCTTATTTGCACATAATGGGATATTATTTATTAAATTTTGTGAACTATTTTTTCCACTCAAGAATAAATTTAAAATGCTGTGTTGTTACATCAGTACCAAAGATATCAAAATCATGTAAATGGGAAGACTAGACCTACATACGTGCTCCAAGAAGCTAAAAAATTGTTAGATGGTAGGTCATGAAGCTCGTAGATGAAAATGGAATATTATCTGAATGTCAAGCACGTTTTCGCAAAAACATTCGACTGAACCAGCTCTACGGTGCGTAATAGAACAGTGGATAAGAGTCCTCTACATGCATGAAATTATTTATTGTTGTTATTATTGACATGAATTTGAAACCGCAAATTCATCAAATTGTAAAGCAAATTATAGTCTCGTGGAATACGTGATGAAGTTTATAGTCGGTTTGAAAATTATCTATATAATCGCGGACATATTACAAAAGTGTAAAACATTTTATTCAAATGAATTAGAACACATGTTATTTTTATTATTCATACATATTATGCATTAATGTCTTACCGAATATTTTATTTAAGTGTAACAGACAACTTTTTGTTGACGACTCATTAATATACATTAAGGCAAAAAATATCAATGACAAAATAGAAATGTTGGATGCAGAACTGCTTTCTGTTACAGAATGATTAAAACCAACTAAACTTAAATTGAAGACAGCAAAAACTAAATGTCTAATATTAGACAAAAAGACAGAGACAAACTTGAAAGTGAAAATGTAAGACGAAGTAACCGAAATCGTAAATGATAAGTATTTAGGAGTTATGGTTGATTCAAAACTGAATTTTAAACTTCATTCCGAGAAATTAATAAAATTAGTTCCAAAGTGGATACCTTAGAAGTCTATCTGATGTGTCAAGCTCTTATTCTAAAAAGTTAATTTACAATATAATCATCTTGCCCCTCACCTCCTATATTGTCCTACTATTGTATATTTAGCAAACAGGAATAACAGACATGTTAAATCAGTTGAGTTGGTTGGATGTTAAAGGTTTATTGAATACCTTATAATGATTTTTGTTACAAATATAAAAATAGATTTTTATCAAATTGTCTCAATGAATTAAAAAGCTTAAAATTCATGTGAAACTAGAGGAAAATTTGAGTTTAATTTGGATTCTGATAGTTATATCTCAAAGCTTGTACATCTTTTTCCCATAAAGGTTTACAAGAATTTGACCAATTACCTAGAGTCAAAATTAGATTTCTTTTAGAACTTTCAAGAGGGAATTACGCTTTTTTTAAAATGTATGAAATCCATTTAAGACACTGAATTTCATGTCTTAAGCTTCTATTTGTAATTCCCCATATCTCTCTGGGCAAGCGAAACCACGTGTTGTACTGAAAGTCACCGTTTTGACCGAAACGTTTACAATAAAGATTTTTTTCAACACATGTGGTTTTCATTGTCCAGAGAAATACGGGGGATTGTCGACATAAAAACCACAGAATAAGGTGCAGATGTTACGTTAACTTGTATTTGTAGTTAGAAAAAATTCGTTTGCACATGGCATACAATGCTGGCCATATACTTTTCCCTTCGCCGACTTCAATGAGTGCGAGAAAGATAGAGAAGGGTGCAAGTTAGCCAATCACAGCTGCGTTCCGCAACCTACATCAATGTGGTTGACAGGCAACATAAAGACTAAACTTGTTTTGCACACCCTTTTTAACATACATGTTATGCGCCTCTCTCTCTCTCTCTCTCTCTCTCTCTCTCTCTCTCGCACACACTGAAAACAATCAGGGAAAAAGTTTATGTGCAACATTGTGTATTAAATATATTTCTATTTAGCCATGAGATCAAAATAAATCCAACTTCTCATTGTTGAACTCAGATTTAAAATATTCATAAAGATGAAGACCTCGGGTATACTTGCAATTTGCATTGGAAAATATTCTACATACATGTTGCTCTTTCTCTAAATGGGGTTAGGAGACATTACCATGCCAAATATTGTTAATAACTATGGAGTACATTTCTATTACCTCTAATGAAGTTAATTGATACAGATTATTTTCTTTCCAGAAATAATTTGTCTGACGAAAGAAGACTGATATTTTTCACGATTTTGGAAAAATATTATTTGGCCACTGAATCTATAGCGTTTCCAGTGCCGCAAGGTTTTTCGTCATTTTTTACGTTTTTGGGATACAAAACATTGGGCTTTGACATGTTCATGCAATATGTAAATCGAAATGTTTTTGAACTGCAAGTCGATGTGATGAAGATCATTATGGCAGGTAATTTACTGCCCAGATTAATTTACGGTATTTGTGGAAATGTTGTTCAAAAAAAGTTTTGAATTTTATCTTCCATTTTCGTGTGATCTAATCGATAATGTCTTTTGAATATTGTTTAAGATACTGACAATAGCAAGGCAGGCATCCAGGCTAAATTGCAAATGTTGACAGCACTTCCAAGATCTCGCGCCAAAAGGCTTTTGAATCAATGGAGCCACCCAATAAGTCTGATGTTAAGAGCTAGAGAGCATTCGTTGAATATACTTTCAGGAGTAGCAGGGCCTCCCTTAGGCAGAAGCCAAGGAGCACGTAGAAATAAAGGGTATAGAGGTAGGACAAATTTCCGTTAAATTTATTATCGAATTGCATAAACTGGAATTAAAAATGATACAGCAAATGGAGCAGAAATAATATCAGACATTTTTTGGACGAAACAATCGAGCAGTACAGAAAAAATGGCAACGATGTGTCCTCAGAAATAGAACATGGCTCATGGAACAATAGATTACCTAGATTTTATTTCCTATAAGGCCAAAATTGACAACCTTTTGGTTTTCACAAACGATACATGTTGAATTGATCACAATTCTATTATTACAGGGTTAACTGCTTTTCCATCGAATGAAAACATGTCTCCACTGGACACATTTTTGGATCTCCTTACAGCCAAAGCATCACTGACTGATATAGATTTTGGTTTGTTGATTGAAGCCACAGAAGCCTCAATGGAAGAAGCTATGATGAATGCGAAATAATAACTAATTTTAAGACTGTTCCTATTGTTTAGTCTTATTATTCTTTTAATTATTTTATGTAAACCGAAACGAACCTTAAATGTTTAAAACGCTGACTTGTCTATTGGATTTTTACAAACGGGTGGCATCCTCGTGACCATGATGGTATCATCGTTAGTTAAAAGGTAGAGTAAAAGAGAAATTATAGTGACCAGAAAAAGGTAAGAGGAAAAGAAAGATTCGACACAGCCCGAATTGCGTAATGCAGTTTCTATCAAGAAATCTTCATCCGAAAAGAATGGCAAATACTCTGAGGTTAAAAATAAAGGCCGGCGGTAGGAAAACTCATTGGTTCGAATTTGCATATCTGATTTCATTGCCCATTTTTTAATATAGTCATTGGTTCCGATTATCTACAGTGACGAGAAAAAAAATATGAAAAGTTTTGATTTAAGAACAAGCTGTATAATAACTTCACGCTGTACCCTTTTGAAATACAGTGTTAGGGCAATAACAATTCTTCTGTATCCTCTAATTTTGGGTTCATGAAACATGTAACACAATAATTCACAAATTTTAATCAGTAATATAATTTTCTGATAGGAGCCTTCTAGTCGTTCTCGAACCGAATATTGCTCCTAGATAATGCTTTCCTCATTGCATATGTGGGAGCATGATTTAGGCATATTTTGCATTATACAGAGTTCATTCTCAATTACATACTGAAGGTGATGGATAGTCAGCTTCTACCGCGACCTTTAGATAAATGCAACCAGAAGACGACAATACGATATACTGCTGTCCTGACATTACTTAGGAGCTTTGCATCCCATATAGTGTTTGTCAAGGTTCGACTCCTATACTGTTACCGTTTTTTGGAATGACAAGCTGGGCTGTGGAGAGTTAGAACGAAGACTGATAGCCATACAATCATGACTTCCCTCATGATGCGAAGGTTATCACCACAGATTATTAGCTTTGTTTGTTTGTTTAAGATTTATTTAGCATGATTGCTACAATTACATTCTTTTAAAAAACTAAACAATTACATAACAACAGTTTTTGATCTTGATAATGTAGATCTAATTTTGGTTTTTTGACTTCTGTCAATTAAATAGTTTTGTAGAATTTTGAATACAGATCCTTTAAATCCGTAGTGATGCAATTTTGTAAGTAATTTATCCCTGTCAATAGCCTCAAACGCCCTTTTGAAGTCCAAAATCACTGTTACTGTATCTTTTCGTTTGTCCATACATATCCACAAGTCCTCTAAAACCATTTGTGTTGCCGTTTCAGTTGAGTGTTTCTTCCTTCATCCAGCTTTGAATTTGGTTGAAATGTTTTTTCCCTCAATAAATTCGATGATCTGTTCGTAAATAATTTCTTCAAAAACTTTTTCAACAACTTTAGAAACAGGAGATATGGTAGAACACTTCAGTTTTGTTGCAAATTCGCCATATTTTGAACAGTAATTTATCAGGATTAATATTCTTGCTCCAATAATATCAAAACATTCATTAAGCACACTTTTAGACAAAACCTCACTCTTATTTTGATTTGATTTAATTTTTGATTTAATCTTGAGACGATTAATGTTTATTGTTCTAAACTCACTGAATGATGGATTATAATCTGAGCTAATGGGACATTGGTTGGGATCCCTGTCAATAATTGATTTTACAATGTCGTTGACACTTTCTATGAACTAGGTATTCATTCGATCTGCTATTATTTTTTCATTTGTTATTACCCCATCGTCGAATTTCATTTTAGGTAATGTACTTTTTTTGATTGGACAAACAATGGTTTTCAACGTTTTCTTCATATGTTTGCTATTATTTTTACTCTGATCAATTTTGGCATTGTAATATTTTTTTCTTTTCATCTCGTAGAACTGCTACATATTGGTTTCTTGATCTTGGGTATTCTAGCCAATCATTTTCACTTCCAGTAATAAAAAAACTTTTTATAATTGTAGTTTCTATTTAATTTAGAATCCTTGAACGTCTGCGAGAACCAAGGTCTTGGATTTTTCCGTATAGTAGCTATCAACATCAACAAATGCTTCAGTCATATCTTACAGTAAAAGAGCTTCTCGTATTTTACATAGTTAATATTAGTAAATTCTTCCACTTTGTTAGCTTCAAATTTACTTTCATCTTCAAAACATATATCCATGAATGATCTCTGATCTTGGGAGTACGAATAACTTTTGCAATTAAATTTTGTTCGTTCGTTATTATCAAATCTATAATTGTTCTTGATTGATTTGTAATTCAGGCGTGATCATAGACTTTTTGCCGTAGTCCATAAAAACTGAGTACCTGTTCAAATTTCTTTGCGTAGAAGTATGATTATCAAAATTTATATTAAAATCACCCAAATGTACCTTGATGCAGTTTCGATAAAAATGTTTTTCACAGATATTTTCGAAAAAATCTACAAATCTGTTTATATTTCCAGTTAGAGATCTGCAGTAAATGTGTAAATTATAATTGTGCTTAAGATTCAATTCAACATTGATATACCACCATTGGTACTCAACAGCTACAATTTCATGTACTCTAGTTTCTATTTCACATAAAATATATAATAGTATATCACCTGTTTGCTCTTACAATTTGATAGCCTTCAAAACCAATTTCTTCATCGTCAATATCCTCTGTGAGATGTGTTTCAGTTAAACAGAGCATCACCGGCTTCACTGACATCAAGTATTGTAAAACCACATCTTTTTTAGATAGTCATCCTTGAATATTTATATGGTAAATATAGTTTGCATATTCTTTTTCTGTAATTGCTATGGTTTATCACTGTAATATGCTTTGGCTTGTGTTTTTTTATGTTCCATTTGGACTATGCTGCAAATTTTATTAAAGGGTGAAGGGTGTATGTCGAAATTTGTTTTATATTTTGAATTAGATTCTTTCATTTTCTGGTATTTCACGGTTCTGCGGTTGATTTCCACTTCCACTACATTTCAAACAAATACCATTCTTGGAGCAATTCTTTGCAGTATGGTGGAAACCAGCACAATTGAAACATCTTAGGAGGTTATAATGTTCAAAAATTGTACATACATCCATAGATATAAACCTTCGTTCATAACTTAATGTAGTTCCAAGATAGCCTGATATCGCTGTTTCATTTTTTAATCATCACCACTCTTATCATTGAATTAGATCTAATAACTCTATTTCTATCTTTTATCTCCTTAATCAGTTCTTCTTTGCCCATTTCTTCACTAAAACAGACGACTTTAATCATAGGTAATTTCTTTCGACCCACGTTACTTTATACTTTTGTCCAATGTCTTTTCCACTTCTATTTTCAATTTATATATCTTCATTATTCCTACATACAATTTTCACAGCTCCATCTTTCAAATCGGTAATTTTTGTTATAGGAACATTCATTTTGGCGGAGTTAATATATTTACTCAATACTTTCTTTGTTTGAAGGCAGTTTTGATTTCCAGTGACTGGTTTTATAACAATTGTATTTTGTGGTTCAGGTAGAGAAACAACCACATTGTTAATATTATTGGATTCCTTAAATGCCATTGTTGGTTCTTCACTTGGATCAATATTTCGTCCATTTTTCACAACATCACTAAAAGATAGAGATTGCTCGAGAATACCCGCTTGTATGTGTGGTATTAAGTTAACAGCTGAATGTTGCTGTCTTGTGTTTTTGGCCATATCTGCATAAGATTTAACATGGCTTTGTCGTTTTCGTTGTATCTTCAATTTGCCTTTGTAATGATTCAATCTTTTTTTTTTAATTTGAGTATTTCCTTTAAACAAAAACCTTTCTCATCCAATATTTTCTCAGTTTCTACTTTATCACTATCTTCCTCATCATTTGGTGTTTCCATACCTATTCTATCTTCTGGAAAATACTTGGCCTACTAGTTATTACTGATATGCTTGAAAACAGTTTTACGGCTTCTATGGCACAGCACTGTATTTTAGCCGAGAATATCACCTAGAACGAACTCGTCTCCTCAATCGAGCCAGCAGCTGGGGAAGAAATCAATATATCCTCGTATATGACTTTTCAACTTGAAATATCTTTGCCACTCAATACAAGTTCCCCATGCAGTATCTGGAATATTTCCACTCTCACCACACAGTCTATCCTCAACGCTATTTAGAGGAGGGCTAGCCAGCTGAACTCTTCAGTATGCAATTTGACAAAGAGTAGCTCTGTATAATGCAAACTATGCCTTAGGACCGTATCGTCAGTCGTTCCTATAATTGATATTCATGTTTTTCTCTTTTTCAGAAAGTCTGGGGTATTTCTAGCGTTCTACTGTTCCGTGTCAGCGTCAGCGCTCTCCTATTGTGAGGCTATGCTTTCTTTTTGAATTGTAGCAAATTTCAGGCTGATATAAATCAAAAGCATGAAGAATTTTATGCATCTAGACATTTGTAACCTCAAATAGAGCGCTGTCACGGAACAATAGAAAACAATGAAAATCAAGGAGGCAATAAAGGCGTCCTACAATAATTGTAGGAACGACTGACGATACGGCCCTTGCTTCCACACATACAATGAAGGGAGCAATATTCGACCCGAGAACGACTAGAAGGCGCGTATCTGAAGAGTATGAGACTGATAAAAATTTGTGAATTGTCATGTTACATTCATTTTGCTCCAAAAAAACAACCATCGCTCGAATTTTCATGAACCCAAAATTAGAAGATACGGGAGATATGGTTTTTATTGCCCTGACACTATTTCAAAAGGGTAGAGCGTGTTCCTAAATTCAGTCAAAAGTTTCCATTTTCTTCGCTACTGTAGATAAACTGAATCAATGACGATATGATAAAATGTGAACCTAATGCGGATTTCTGCACAATTTGGTGTTTTTTTTTTTAATTTGTATGACAATTAAAAAAGTTATGAAAGGTAGAAGGAACATTAGAATAGAAAAAACAGATGATAGAGAAAATGTGGTTCTTAATAATGGAAGGCATTGTGGTCTGATTGGCAACTGGAGTCATATCAAAAAGTGACTTAAAGTTGGGGTAATGAAACATTATTTTGAGTTACCCTGTACAAGAAGTCAAACCGTAGCAACAATCAAGAATTCTACCTACATGTTGAAGTCAATGACCTACCTACCTACCGAAAAAGCCTATATTCGGAGGATCTCAAATAATTCTGTAAATACTTACCTGGTCGATACTTGAATACGAGTATGATGTGTTGGCTCGAACTTTCATATCATTCATTTTCCTAAAGATTATTTCTCCAATGATCAAATACTCAACACAGATGGCGGTGACAAAACTGACGTATCACAAAACTCTTAACATGACGCAGAATCTTCGAATTAACTACAAAATGAAGAATATAAGAGCAGTTTTCTCTATAACGGTGTTGTCACATCAAGGTATACCTATTACCATTTATGGGTAAGTTAATTTCAGAATACTTGAGCAACAAATATTTAAGTGACTGGCAATTTACTCAAGTTACTCCAGCTACCAAATTTTAAAGTTAGTTTGAGACTGAAGGATTGGACCTTGGTGAGACGACTGTTACTTAAGTTACTGGGACATTTCTGGGTGATGGGTATTCATACACGTAATTAAACAATGAAATTGCATAAAAAGATGAACAAGGACAAACTTTAATAAAAATAATCCATACAACAATGTTTCTACATATGTAATACTAAAATACAAAAACAACACGCTATAAAATAAATATAAAATACAGTATACGAACTACCTTCGTCACAGTCTCGAAATTTACTAACGTCACTATTCATTTAACATCAATCATTCTTCAGAGCATAGTAAACGTCATCCGCGCTGACGTTTAAGATGATTCGTTGGTAAATATCACAACATTTGGGATCAGTCAAGATCAATCTACAAGCGCTGAGTTTGGCGACTGCAGATAAGGCTATCGTGATGGAGACACGCTGGAATCCATCTATAGCACAGCAGGACATAAGCATTTTGAATACGTCGTTGAAGGATGTCTCCTCAATACCCGTCCTTTCCATCTGTAAAAAATGCAGGTTGGAAAATTTGAGATACCGGAGAGATTTGCATTGGCAATTTAGAGAAAAACTGTATGAAGATGCTAATATAGAGTAGATATAGCGTTTTTTTTGTTTTGATAAAACTGGTGGAGTTTCCATGTTTGAAACACTCCCCTGATTTGTCCGTTCCTTTCCTGTGCTATTATGGTTAATTTTCGAAGAGAAGGGAAAACGATGAAAATACTGGCAGTTAAAAAATGATTCCATGCAGGGCCACAAGTAAAAGCTGTAAAATGTGACACTGTTGACAGTTGACAAAACTATACCCTATTGGTGGTCCATTTACGCCCCGGCACAACAAAGATGCAGCGCGGCAAAGCGGCAGCCGCCTAAGCGTTGCAGGATTACAGTGCAGGATTAGACAAGATAGAACTCAGGCTCGGGGTATCGCCGGCACGCCGACGCCGGCAGTTGCTGTTCATATTCGGTACATACGTAGCGTGTTTTTATACGTTAGCATGTCGTCTACGGATACAGCAGATTAAACAGAATATGTCTCCCAATGTTTCCTTCACCCAAGCTTCCTCTTCAGTTATGTCTCCTTCCCGAAAACATGACAAGAAGGGACATTTGAATATTCAGGCAAAAAAAATGTCCTTAACGTTTATAAGAGCGGAATTTTAGAGCATCCTGAAATGAAAATTCATGATATTGAAAGACGTGTGGCGAACAAAACAGGCTTATGTCCTAAGACAATTTTCAACATTGTCAAAGAATATAAAAAAAGACAAAAAATTGTCCCCACAACACAAGAGGCTGCATTACACGAAGCTGTTGGATACGGTTGATAACTTTGATCGGAATGCCCTCAGATGCAAAGTCCATCAATTTTTGAACGGCAGGAACTTCCCACCATAGACAAAGTATACTACAGGAGGTTAATAGTGATGAAGTCTTACCTACTTTCAAAAGGACCACATCCTATAGTTTACTCAAAGAACTTCATTTTGAGTATAGAAAACGGGGCAGATATAGTATTTTGATGGACAGCCAAGAGATTATTTTATGGAGAAAAAAATTATTTAAAATCAATAAAGAAATACCGCGACCAGGGCAGGAAGATTAATACTTGCATGAAACCTGGATAAATATAGGACATACAATTAAATCAGCAAGACAAGCCTTCTTAGATAGACTAACCACTGGCCTAAAGAATCCGTCAGGTACGTGTATCTAACCAATTCGTCATTTGTGTTGTAAGTATGGTGTCAAGTAGACTGAATCTATGAGCCCACGCTGAAAACTTAGCTACACTAAACTTAGCTATATCTGGTAGATTTGGAACCAACACCTGTTAGATTCTCTGCTTGTATTATTATTAGTTTTCTTGAATACTATAAAAAATAATTATTTACAGGAAAAGGAAAACCATTTGTTATCTGCCCAACCAATGTCCCATTAGCTTAGATTACAATGCATCATTGAGTGGGTTTGGAATAATAAACATTAATCGACTCAAGAACATTATATCAGAAATCAAATCAAATCAAAATAAGAGTGAGATTTTGTCTAAAAGTGTGCTTAATTATTATTTTAGCAAGAATATTAACCCTGATAAATTACTGTTTATAATATGGCGAGTTACCAACAAAACTGATGTGTTCTACCATAACTCCTGTTTCTAAAGTTCAGAATTCTGAGTTGTACACCAATATGTGGCCAATAAATGTTCATCAATCATCGAATTTATTGAGGGAAATAAAATTTTAACTAAATTTCAAGCTAGATTCAGGAAGAAACACTCAACTGAAACGGCAACGCAAATGGTTTTACAGGACTGGAAGAGATGTATGGATAATAAGAAACATACAGTAACAGTGTTTTTGGACTTCAAAAGCGCGTTTGAGGCTACTGACAGGGATAAATTACTTACAAAATTGCAGCACTACGGGTTTAAAGGATCTGTATTCAAAATTCTACAAACCTATTTAATTGACAGAAGTCAACAAAACCAAAATTGGATCTACCTTATCAAGATCAAAAAATATTTCTGTTGGTATACCACAAGGTAGTAAACTAAGTCCACTACTGTTTATTTTATACATTAATGACATTTGTAATATTTTAGATTATTGTAAACTTCAGATATTTGCAGATGATACATTGATATACATATCAGATGAAAATAGACACTGCTTTAAAAATGCTAAATTCTGACGGCAAAAATCGTAAATTGGTTAAATGTAAATAAACTAAAATTGAATACTTCTAAAACAAAATGTATGCTAATACGGAAATACCTAAATGAAAATACTATCACAGTTAGGATAAATGGAGAAATGGAGAAGTAATCGAAAATGTTGAATCAATTAAATATTTAGGTATATATATTGATAGTAAACTAAAGTTTGAGGATCACTATGAATACATTATTTCAAAAATTGCAAAAAAAAACAAATTACTTTTATAGGGCTTCTCACAGTCTTGGTGCCTATTCCAAGAAAATAGTTTATAATACAATTATTCTACCGAATTTACTATATTGTTCAACTATCTTGTTCACTGCCAATGAAGCTATATTCTCAAAATTACACGTCTTGCAAAATAAAGCTATGATAATAATATTGAATAAAAATAAGTACACCAAAATAAAATCTATGTTACAAGAATTGCTGTGACTGAATATAAAAATATTTATATCATATTTGGTTCTTATTTTTATATTTAAAATAAAAAAATCAGCTTTTGCCAGAACATTTAGAACACTACATAGAATTGAATAATCATTGCCACAATTATTATACAAGAGGAAATATAGATTTTCATTTACAAAATTGCAATAGTAATATAACTAGCAAATCAATATTCCAGAAAGCATTACTTGAATTTAATAAACTAAATAATGATATAAAGTCTAGTTGTAATTTAAAGATATTTAAAAGAAAATTAAAGGAATATTTCATGGACAATGAAAATTCTTAGAGATTCAACTTTTTTTTTTAAATATGTGTATGTTATGTATTTGTTAAGTTTTTTAGAAGAATGTAATTGTAGCAATCATGCTAAATAAATCTTAAACAAAAACAATGCCATCATTGTACTTGATAATGCTGCATACCGCACTAGAAAACTAGAAAAAATCCCACAATGTCCACAAGAAAGGCAGAAATTCACAAATATAAATATAATCTTAAGGTTGTGGACGAAATGGCTAAAAACCAAAATAAGACCGTTTTAAGTTAAGGCTACCCTCTTATCACTGCGAATTAAATCCCATTGAAATGATTTGGGCAAATATAAAAAACTATGTGGCTTCAAACAATAGACCATTCAAATTTTCTGCCGTGAAAAATTTGTTTTATGATGCTGTCAACAGAGTGACGGCAAACCATTGGACAGATTGCATCCGTCACGTTCAAGAGACAACCGAAACAACTATGTGGGATCTGGACAATATGATCGATATTCAAATTGAACCTGTAATAATAAATATTAACCATTCGGACAATGATTCAAGTACTTCCAGCGAATGGAGAATTGTGAAATGTGCACTTCTTTCTATAAAAATAATCATTCATTTTGTTAGATTATTTTACGACCATTGAGGAAAATACGGACCTGTACAATCTAGCTTTTGATGTTGTGTTTTGTCAGGGGTAAATGGACTACGAAAGGGATATAGCACGAGCTGCGATATTTCTGCACTGACTGCAAAACTAGTTAAAAGTACATATAAAAAGAACATGCATATACAGTGTTTAAAATTCGACCTTCACCATGGGGATCGCGGAAACGGTAAGAGATATGAAGTCGCTTAAATTGGGGCAAGGTTTCGTATTTAGGTAACTAACAAAATGCCGGTCAGAAAGTTTCGAAATTCAAAGTTCTTCAGAAGAGACACGGAAAAAACCGAATTTTCCCAGATAGTCATTTGTTTTGTATACCTGATTTATCGCAATATCATATTTACTTTTTCCAGGCTTTATTCAAGATGAGAATTCAAAATAAATTGCATATTGTCGTTGCCACTTTTTCTCCTCTACAGGTTGAAGTAGTCAAATTTTCAATTCGAGGTTTGTTCTTTTGACTTCCATCGCCAACTTTTTTTTTTCATATGGACCCTATATTGGAATTTTGTACATTTAAATACTACTAAGAATATATTGTTTTACTTAAATATGTGAAGTTTATTGTGATATACATTAATATGTTATATTGATAAATAAATGTAGAATCAAAAATTGTGTTCGATTATGCAAAATTTAAATATGGAGTCCATCAGATAAAGCACACTTCATGATGGAGATCGAAAGAAGAAACGTCCAAATGAGAATTTGACTACGCCTTCTTGTAGAGGAGAAAGAGTGTCAATGTTAATATGCAATTTATTTTAAAATCTCATTTGAAATGAAACCAGGAAACAACGATTTTGCGATAACTTCAGATTAAAGAAACAAGTGACTATCTGATAACTCCAAGGCCTACCTCCATTAGAAAAAATAAAGTTGATGCTGGAGGACAAGAGAAAAAACGACATATTGAAATTCTGCAGGGTGCGCAATCGAAATAACTTTGAAAACGAAAAACTGATTTCTATATATCGTGGTCACCTTTATTGGTCAAAACAAAATGTGCCCATTTTGCTGCGTTTTCATTACTTTTTCGAGCATCTCTGGTGGTATAGCGGCCATTGCGGTACGAATGTTTGCCTTGAGTTCTTCAGTGGTCTGGGGCTTGCTGGCGTACACTTAACTTTTCAAATAACCCCACAAGAAGAAGGCCGGTGGGGTCAAATCTGGTGACCTGGCTGGCCAGTCAATGTCACCTCTCAGACGTCCAGGGAATTTTCGTAACCATCAAGGCCTTTTTCACGCATTTGTGGGGAGACATAATGAGCCAATATCCATCGATATCGATTTCCATCGACTGTTTCGTTTTCGTTGAAGAAAAATGGCCCAATGATGGTTTTGGCGCAAACGCCGGCTCAAACAGTCACTTTTCGGTCCTGCAATGACATTTCGCGAATCTCATGTGGATTTTCCGACCCCCAAATGCGGCAGTTTTGCTTACAAACGCCGCCAGAGAGCGTGAAATGGGCCTCGTCTGTCATCACAATTTGCTTCCAAAAATCAGGTTCAGCATCAACCATGCGAGCGACTGTTTGGGCGTATTCCAAGCGACGAGGACGGTCAGTTGGCAATATTCTTTGTGTTAACTGCACCTTATCAGGAAAAAATGCAAATCATCCTTCAAAATGTGCCGCAACGTGGTTCTACTGATGCCAAAATGTTGAGCACGGTGACGATACAACTCTTTTGGGTTCTGGACAACGCTGTCTCTGACCGCTTCAACCAATTCATTAGAACGTCTTGGGCGCTGATGAACGGTATGTTGACGATCTTCCACTGTCCCTTACTCAAGAAAATTTGAAACCAAACGACGGATAGTGTTGTCAGACGGTGCCTGCTTGCCACGATATTTTCGACGATATGCACGTTGCGTTAACACAACTGAACGACGATTTTCAATGTACATTGTGACTATTTCGGCGCGTTGTTTCGGTGGAAAGCGATTCATGACTAAAATTGTAGTAAATTGGCGTTCCAGAAATACGTATAGCCAAATCACTCGGTTGGTAAATATCAAAGTCATTCGATGTTTCAATACCTTACATAAAAGATGGCGCACCCGGTAGTTAGATCATCTTGTAGAAGAGAAAAAATGGCATTTTTAATTAACAATTTAATTTGAAATCCCGCTACAAGTCGGGAAAAAAATTAAAAGGACTTTGGGAAAATTCGGGTTTTTCCAAGTACTTTCAATCTCGAAGCTTTCTAAGCAGCATTTTGTTTATTATTTAAGCGAGTTCGCACGGTATACACTTTGTCAAAACAACATCAAATATGGACTAGTGCAACACCGTTTTAATCAAAAGAAACCGTTATAAGCTTTGTCAACCATTTTTTCACTTGCTTGCTGTATGAAGAAGCTGTCTTTGCATTACTCAATATGAACTCTCCAGTTTTGAAATTACCTCGCTTATATATTGTTTACTGAAAATACATGAGGATACACCTTCGGATCAACAAGGTGATGCCACTCGAAAATGTTATTTCTTCTAATTTGAAAATCCTTAATCGAAAAAAAAATCATTTAAAAATGATAAAAACTTTACGAAATCTTAGAGAATCCTTGAAGAACCTAATTTCGCATATATCTTAATAACGTTTTACCTAGGCTGTCTCCTAAATATGAATATGAACGTATATTTAAAAATCACATTAACACACCTGTTACATTTATGTATGACAAAACAGCATTTTTATAAGTAATATCATAAGGACATCTAATTTTTCCGAAAAAAATAAAAAAAACACGTTGCTAAGTAATATTTTAACAAGAAGCATGAGTGCTGATGGCAACAAAAATCCAAGTCGAAGACGTGAAGATATACGAACGTTTTTTGTTTAAAAATATTACTTTGCATTGTTTTTTCGATTTTTTTTCACAGTAAAAAATTAGATGCCCGAATGGTATTTGACAACACTATTTCATGAGTAGCCGGCATACATATAGCTTACAAAAGTTTTCTGGTATCCTAGGAGACCATAATTACTTGTTATCAAATGTAATGCAATTTTTGTTGACAACAGCTGTCAAGCTTTGCCGCGGGTAAACTCAAAAAAACTGCTAACAGGTGCTGTCATCCAATTTTTGCATCTAGAAACCATTTGTAATTCAAAATTGGGCGTTCGTGATTGGTAGAAATTAATTCGAGGGAAATACTACGATATATTTATGTAGTTGCGAATAAGCAATAATTTACCGGGTTCATACATGTATAAAAAGCTCTCTAAATTTGCTCACCTCCGCTACAATAGCCTGCAGAATTAGCTGCTGCAACCTAGAGCAACTCTTGATTGCTCTCACCCGTGGTTGGGTGATCATCATGTTAAGGGCATCATTCACGTGATTCATCCCCACCAACTGACCCTTTCCTTCCATTTCTGCTATTTCAGTAGCCCTCCTGCAGATGTCTAACGCCCTCCTGGCATCTCCAGACACTGATGCGACCTTCCTAGAAAGGTTTATTGGATAATAAATGAAGTGCTTTCTGTAGTTGCTGGATAAAATTTGCATGAAACTATGTCAATACAAAAAACCGAGAAATCTAATTAAACTAACTTCTAATTACCATATAATAATAATAATCATCTTTATATTTATAATGATTACATTATACCAAGGCGAAGCTTAGCTCATGTAGCTATTCTTCCACTTGACACAAACATAAAAAAGTATAACACTGAACAAAATTATGTGAATCTATTTGAATTTGAAATTAAGTCTTCAAGCAAATACACACACAAAACATACACTTATTTATGCAGGGACTGATCTTTCAAATGGTACCTACTCTGACAATGGTTTCAGGTTACTCGGAATAGAGTTGCACATAATAACAGAGTTATATATGAGAGATCAGTTAAATAAAGATGTCTTGTGTGGCATAATGAATGAAAAGAAAAAATATGAAAACAGAACCGATAGCAATAAAAATATCAGTAACCTTATGTGGCAGATACTAAAAAATATTGTATCTATTAGAAAATGAAATGAATTATCGAGAATGTGCTTCGAAGACGGCACAAAAAAAAAATATTAATTGCAGAACGAATGAACGATTATTTTATAGAAAGTATAAATGAGATAGTGCAGAGAACCGAAGATGGGCATCCAAATGTATGTCCAATGCAAGTTATTTCAAATTCTTCTATGAGCCAATTTCAAAAACTAAACGCTAATTTCAAGATTAAAATCAAATGGAAATCGTAGTGAACATCTTTCAAAAATGAGTGTTTCAACATTATTGGGGAGAAGTTATTATTGCTAGTGTATCACTGTTTAGTGTATGGTGAATTTCCTTGGAAATTAAAATGTTCTACAATTACTCCAGTTCCAAAAATTTAAAATTCCGAGTTATATGGTATACAAACATGCGGCCAATTATTGTACTGTCAGATGTCAAGAAGCATTTATCCCGCCCCAAAACAAGGTTAGTCGGTAGATATAAGACAGGGTGAGGTTCTTTGTACCTTGGTTTTTTGATGCAAAGCGGTTACGATTTGGGCGCCACCTAGATTCAAAAGCTAGGAAATGAAATAACAAGTAACGACTGGTGGGTCTCTGGAGCTAAGGAGACACAAACTCACAAGGCACAAAGACATTTATTGAAAAAAATAAAAATAAAAAAAAATTATAGAGAAGTACTGGAGGACAGGCTAAAGAAAATGAATTTGTATTACCCCCCACCCCTAGCTGAATGGTTTATAGTAAATATTAAAATAAACAAGAAAAAGACCACCTATGCAGGTGCTTGACTATTACCGGTAGGCAACCGAGAGCAGAAAGTCCCAGATGTAACCTGAAGGTTACCTTGAACAATGAGGGTTCACAAAAATGGGGAACTGCTCCTCACAGGCGTGAGTCCTACTTATATTCGCCTCGGATTAGCCCTGGAGACGGTTCCCCTCAGCTCGATGGTTGAGTATAGTTATGTCCACGGCTAACTCCCCAAGAGGTTGAGAAAAAGGCTCCGACAAAAAAAGATTACCAAGAGTGGTCGATTTCTAATAAAAAACACCCACCACCCTATAATGCCGCAACTCTGCGTGTGAAACTATTTCACAAAATCTGGCAGTGGGTCACCTTTAATCTTCATCAGAGGTAACATGAACGCGCAGCGTTATATCCACGAAGTTCTAGAACCCCATCTTTTACCCTATCTTGACACCCTGGCAGATCCAACTTTCCAACAAGATAATGCCCGGCAACATGTTGCAAGAGTCACAATAGACTTCTTTCAACATAATGATGTCACATTGTTACCATGGCCACCAAGATCTCCCGACTTATCCCCAATTGAGCACGTGTGGGATATGATTGCAACGTCCTCCTCAGACTCTAGAAGCACTTCGAGAGGAGTTGGTGGTTGCCTGGAATGAGATACCACAGGAGGACATTGACCACCTGATCAGAAGCATGCCTAGGCGCGTTGGAGAATGCGTAGCATATCAGGGTGCATCCACACATTATTAAAGGTCAAAGGGCTTTAAAGCAGTGCAATCATTTTGAAATTTTTATCATTTACTTATTATGCTTCATTAAAAGTTTTATTAAAATAAAACCATTTAAACTGTGTGTTCGGATTTCTATGTCACTTAGTATACATTACTATGGATTTAAAGGTTCAGCATTGAACATATTACAAAATTATTTAATCAATAGAAGTCAAAGAACTAAAATTGGCAAGCACTGAAAACATTTCGGTAGGTGTGCCATAGGGTAGCAAATTAGATCCATTATTATTTATTTTATATATTAATGATATTCCTGATGTTTAACAACACTGAAAAATTCAAATATTGAAACTGTAATGGAGCTGTTAAATAATGATATGAAAAACATAATTAACCGGTTGAGTGTGAATAAACTCAAATTAAATACAAATAAAAAAATGTGTGCCAAGAGAAAAATCTTTAGATGAAAATACAATAAATGTTACGATTAATCGAATATTATCGGAAATTTAATACTTCCATCGTTCCAGATCCAGTCGCATATAACATATGCGAATTACGGGATCGCTCCATTTTCTACAATTTTCTATTCGTTTAAAAGGAAATAAAGGAATAAAGTAGCAACCGCAAAGGAAAGTGTGGTTACAACGACTTTGACGTGATAAATGGCAGTTAGAAGTTGACAGTTACAGTTTTTTTCCCACCAACTACGCATGATTTCGTACGAAATTTAGTACAAAATTTTCTTTACGTGTCAGGCAGGATTGTAATGTCTAAAAAAAATGGAAACCAAATTCAGTAACCAATTTTCTCACAAAATTTCGTATCGTGACAGACGGCCTTTAGACATAATAAGTCATATTTTCCCTACATTTGTCATGGAAACAGAAATTATAGATTTGCTTTATATAGTTTGATATGCCGAGGACGAACATTCATCGCATCTAAGTGAACCTACCTAATCAAGATTCGATTTCGCCTTTTGCGACGATTTGACTCATTCCTTTTCTTTGAAACATCCAATGAAGGCGTAGGAAGAATACTTACTCGAACGATGCCGAACAACTCAATCCTTTAACTGGCGTGGAAGTATTGTAACCGCGAAACATTTCGAAAATGAGAATGTCCTTTGTGTGTTAAAAACATGTACATCAAGAAAAACCATGTCACTAATTTCCGTCGGTCCGTCTGTCCGCTAATCCTTGACCCTCTATAGCTAGGAAAGTACCGGTCGGATGTTGATGAATTTTTCACAAAGAGTTACTACTATTCCAAGGACGAAAAAGCTTTGTAGTTTTTGAAAATCGATCTAGTGGCGGTGGAGCTTGGGACAAAAAAGTAAAAAATTCGCCCATACTTCATTTTTTGACGTTTCAGAGGATCCTGGTCATGGTTGAAAACAGTTTAAGGGGTCAAAAATGGGGGGTGGGGAATGTACCTGTACATATCAATTTTTTGACAGTGTTATTCGCCTCCAGCGGTGGTAATTTTACGCACCTTTTAGACATATTTCACTCATCATAGATTTCCCCGTACATTTATCCTTAAAACTTCAAGAATGGCGGAGAAATATTTACAGCCCTCGCGAGTCGATCATACACTTCGCGGTCCTGCCGATGCATGTGTGTAGCAGTCGGCCTCCGCTGCTCGACTGGAGGGGAACCTATCGTCATCCATGTCTGATGAACACATAGTTTCGATCACATGCGCCCGCAGGAATATTTCTCAGGGGAAGGGGGACGGCGGCGATCCATTGCCAAAAGATAACTTTTGTGTGAAAGCGTAACTGTCTCCAACATTTTTTCAAGAGTGAGCTAGTGCATGTTTCCTCAGGGAGCCCCAGAATGGTTCAAAAAACACCGTAAACATGTAATTTTCAGTTGTATGAGTATGTTTGACTAACCTGATCCATTTAATGTACTTGTTATACATGTAGCTAACTTTTTTTTTCAGAGGGGACAAACATAATCTTTTATGAACTGATGACAGCGTTGAGTAGGAAGTGTAGAGTCAACCTACTTGTCGCCATTTTTTCATATAGTCTGTGCTCGCGGAATGGCGCTTTCAAAATACACTACCTGTAAAAGACATAAAAGCACTTAAATCTTACCTAGCTACAAATTGAACAGCATCAGGATTGAAACTATCAGTACCACAAAGTCGCATGGTCACAATTTCCTGCAGTTGTTTGTAAGTGTATGGCTGGAACGTCAGCCTCGTCAAACCCAATCTACTGGTCACCCTGCTCATCAACAGTCGTTCAGGTAGGTCCATGGTGTTGGCGATAGTTACAACCATAAGTTGGTTTTTTGCTTTTGTTGGCCAATCCAGGAGATTGTATACTACGTCTTGACGTTTGTTGCATAGAATATCCAACTAACAGAGGATAAATAGATATATGAATATGATTTATTGTCTGAAGAATACAAGCATTTTTAATGCAAAGCTAGCTTAAAACTAAACAAAATTACATATGAAGATTTCAAGTAACTGAATTATAGGAGTCACAAAAATGATACAAGGATGACCAAAAATTGCTTCGAATTCAACATTCGAGAGACATCATTAAAGAGGCCCCACCACGAAGGAACCACATACTCTGTCTCACATTTAGAGGAACATCTCATAATTGTGGCAGCTTGTGTCGAAGAAAATCTAAATAAACTTTACCGGTCAGTCGAGGTGGAAAAAAGTAGCGTCCAATAAGCATGCCATTTACCACGCCAGCCCAAACATTTAATGAAAATCTATGTTTTTACAGCATGCGGATTTTCTACTGTCCAAACATGATTGTTGTGGAAATTGTGCACTCCATTTCGTGTAAATGTGGCCTCGTCTGTACACTAAATCAATTTCGTAAAATCTTCATTTACGCGAACAGTTCTAAAAGCCGCTGTCAAAATGCAAGTCTTCTAGGATAATCTTCAGGTTGTAACGCTTATACCCGTTGATAATGATAAGGCTAATACTGTTCTTGTCGTAATGTCTTTACTATGAGAAACTTCAACTTGAGCTGCTATGGCTCTAGTACTAATTGTTGGGTCGTCTTCGACCATTTCTAAAATGGTTTCCTCAATTTCATGTTGAGTAGGTCTTCCAGCGTAACCTCCTGGTTCTTTTAAATATCCTGTGTCACAAATTCTAATAACTAAATTTACAAACATATATCAATAACACAAAAAGTTTGCCAAATTTAGATAGACGATAAGAGGAGCAAACAAAAAACGCTAAGATTTTACACGGCAATGGTCGAGAATATCAAAAAATATGTGTAATAACATTCTTATTTTTTAAATCTTTAAGCTTTTATTATGCAACTTTTATATAGGTGATTTTTGGTATATCAACTCCTTTTGACGATCCTACAAGCAGCTAAATTAAATGATTAAACTTTGATAACACACTGTATTTACAGACCGTGCAGCCTGGACGTTAGTTAGTATTGATGTAAAAGGATACGTAGATATCCACTAATGGGATATCTACGTATCAGTAAATGCTGATGGTACAGATCACAGTAAATATTGATCGCGCCACGATGACCTTAGAATGTGACTACATTTGCTTTAGAGGTTAAAATTATATGAAATGTTCGGCAAATTTTCTCTCTGGCATCGACAGTATGATTCTAAATCAATGGCCACGTTCTATCCATACCCGGAATAAAAAATAATTTCTATCATCTATCATCAAATCAGCTCATTAAAAATACAATTATTATATGGTGAAAAATGACCCTTTAAAAGTTGCGAGAACTGAGTTACATCTAAATAACCATATGAATGATTCAATTTGTTTGTTCATAGATACGAAAAACCAATAAGTGCTGAGTATCTGACAAATATAGATATTAAAAATTGTCGGGCAATAGGATTCCCTAGTTAAAGTATATTTATGTCTTCATAGCTTTGCTGTCATTGCCCAAATAAATCTGAAGATACTAACCTCATCAACAAGCATGATAATTGGCTTCATTTTCTTAGATTTAACGAACATCTCATCCAGCATACTTTGAGCTTGTTCCCATGGCACTGTTTTTCCTTTCAGTTGTTTGTAGATCTGTAATCATTTATTAATTTATGGAATGAGAGCTACATATTAAGATAATCAACATTACCTCCACATAGGCCTGTCTAGGTTCAGTAAGCCTCATTCCATTAATGCTTACAAAGGTGAAACTTGGAACTTTCTTGTTTTCCTGTAGGTCATTTATAACTGATGTAACAGTTGCTGTTTTCCCAGTGCCAGGTACTCCAGATATATACATGCATCTGTAATTACGGATTCGTGTATAATACAAGAATCAGGAAGAATAAAAAGGACAGGCTTGCAACAAACAAATTCGACAATATTGTTAAATGCCTCCATTCTGCCAGTTAGGTCTTATACAGAAAGTGATGATTTTCTACTGATAATGATTATTCGTTGCTAATTCAAAAATAATGGTGTATATAAATTAAGAGTACTCAGTGTTTCAAAAATAAGGTAGTCAACGCATGATCAAAATGTCTTAAATTTAGAGAGATGAGATTTCAAAAATTAAACTACTCATATCCTAATGCACACTTTTATATATTTCAGTGGCGTACGTATGCAATTTGAGTGAATAGTTTTTAAGAAAAAATATGGTACGTCACTGCTATTTTCATAACCAAGTTATTTTTATGGTTCGCATTTACGTATGAGGAAATTTGATCTGAATTTCTTTCCCTCAATTACCACATTTTGCCATGTTCCGGATTTTTTACGCAAAGACTGTAACACACAGGAAAAACAATCATGATATTTGCTCAGAAACGAATTATGAAAAACAGATTGTGTTACAAGAAAATAGTATGGCTTGAAATCCATAATTTTACCACCATATAACTCAAAATTTGGGATTCTTAGGACATATGGTCAAATGGACATTTCTTAAATGTACCTGAAAATCACTCTTTACTTCACCTTTGAAACACCATATAATAAGTAGGCATGCAACCACAAAATTAAATTGTCCTGCTTAAGCATCATAATATTCGTTGCTTGATTGAACATATTCTGCTACAGACAGAATATTTATCACTAAATGAAAATAAAATATTCCACCATAGAGTCTCATATCAGCATTAAGAAGCTATAGTAGGAAACAAATGGAAAAATAATAGCAGATAGAATGAATATCTATCTCATAGAAAGTATCAATGATATTGTAAGATCAATTAACGACTGGCATCCCAACAAATTTCTCATTCGATCAGATTATAATGCATCATTCAGTGAGTTTAGAATAATAAACGTTACTCATCTCAAGAAAATTATATCAAAATTGAATTCAAATCAAAATAGGAGAGATTTTGTCAAAAGGATGCTTAATGAATGTTTTGATATTATTGAAGCAAGAACACTAATCCTGCTGATAATGGTTAAAATATAGTGAATTGCCAATAAAATTGAAGTGATGTATAATAACTCCTGTTTCAAAAGTTAAGAATTTTGAATTGTACATCAAGATGCAATATAACTAGCAAATCGATATTTTAGAAGGGATTCCTTCAATTTAATAAACTAAATTTTTATATAAATTCTACTTGTAATTTAAATATGCTTAAAAGAAAATTAAAGCAACGTTTCAAGGACAGTGAAAAATCTTAGTTAATCTCTCTAGTTTTGTTTTTCTGAATATTTGAATAAATCTTAAACAAACACAAAGAATTACTTACCCTCCACATTCATCTTGCAGTTTGCCTTCCAAAAAGCTGTAAATACCTTCATACTCGTTTTCTCTACAAGGCAACGATTTTGGAACATATGAAACGTGCAACTGAGATCTAGCTCTCATTAGTGGTGTCCCATCTCCTTCTATAATCCTGCTTCTTTCTTTCATAGAAGGAGTTATTATGCCTTCTTTAATCAACTTGCTTATATTCCTAGGAGTTTTTGGTGTGTTTGGAGTGTTTGGTGCAGTTCTTGACCTTGGTGTCCTAGGCGTTTTTGGTTCGGCCTTAGGTGTTTTCTCTACAGGGTCTTTAATTAAAACAGATTTTTGTTGCCTTCGTGTGGTGAAGCATTTTTCTATGGACCTTTGTAGAGCGGATCGTCTTGTTCTGGGAGTTTTAGGAGGAGATGAAGGCAGATATGACTCTGATTCGCTATCTTCTGCTCGTCTTGGTTTGCGTTTTGATCTCGGAGTCCGTGGAGCATTGCTAAAACGTTTATTGTTTACCAGGGTTCGGGGGATATATATCAAGTGGTATAACGTGAGCCGTGGTTATTGTCGTCTAAATAACCAGTTAGGTGAGAAAAAGATTCAACCTTTACGTATATTGGGTACTTCGACAAATTAGTGCAAAGCGTACTCTTGTAACTTTATTCTCTAGCTTTCGATGAACTATGTCATCATCATCAGGAGACAAGTACGCGAGATTGTTGCTAAATGTTAATAACTAAGTTAATGAGAACACTTAGTAACCTGATGAAAACTGGATCAATGGTAGCAGTAGTTGAAATGTATAAAATACACATACCATGTATCAAAAAACAGCAAAACAGATTAAAAAACTTTTGGATTGATTGTTAAATTTTTTGATTTCCTACATCATGAACAATCTTCCTACTTTACCTGGTAAAGTAAAAATCAAAGTTTTTTATCCATTCTGCTGTTTTTTTGACACATGGCTATGTGTATTTTATACATTTTAACTGCTGCTACCATGGATAAAGTTTTCATCAGGTTACTAAGTGTTCCCATTAACTTAGTTGATAACATTTAGCAACAATCTCGCCTACTTTTCTCCTGATGACGATGACGTAGTTCATCGAAAGCTAGAGAATAAAGTTACAAGAGTACACTTTGCACTAATTTGTCGAAGTATCCAATAAAGGCTGAAGCTTTTTCTCACCCAACTATCAAGAGATACGCGAAAGGTTGGGAAATCTCGAAACTGGAGATACTACAGACCAAAATGTGTGAATTGACCTAAACATCCCTTAGTGCAAAAGTTGATAGTTTGCGAGATACAGGGTGACAAAGTTACAATTTTATTTTCTATTTTTCCTTATTGCTTGAGATGTATTCCAGATTTTGGCATACAACTCGGTACAGGGAGGTTTTCTAGTAAGAGAAACAAGAATCCGATATTTTTTATGGACAAACTTCTAGAGGGCGCCACTTACAGCACTATTTCGATAAATAACTTATAACTTTTTTGTGTTATCCTTAGAATCGTATTTTCTCGTATTTCCACAACAAAAAAGATTTACTTGTTAGAAGTGTCTAAAAGTAATGATTTTCGAGATATTTGTTTTTAAAAGTTCCAATGTACATATATTATTTGTATGATTATCGCCGGCGCGCGGGGATGAACTGTTTTTTATTTGCTTTATTGTGAATTTTTTCCCGCTCTGTCGACTGTCGAGTTAATAGTAGTTGCAAGTAATATGACAAAACCAAAGCGTTTAGTTTAGCGATATTTTATATATATAATTAAAAAGAAATACTGTTCTGGAAAATATGAAAAATGTCGAGAGTGTTCAAAAGAGATGCAGGGTATACCGTCACGAATGGAGGAACATATATTAACACATCAAAAATAATATATCCAGTGATACGTCAAAGGATGAAACAACACGATATTCTGTTCCTGCCTTCCACTTCTACCACAAAAAAGGGTCAATACATCTTACATCAGGTAATTGTTATATTCAGAATAAAATGTCTTTATTTTATAGAGAAATTATAAAACTTGTTTCTAATAATATTTTTCCAGCCAACCAACAGACAACATGCTTTATCCATGGAGAAAGATGCTGATGTTATTGTAACATCAGATACATACTCCAAAGAACTTAACCTCCAAATAGGCAGACAATTTTACGCAACTAATACACCTTTTCTGGATGCTGATGATACTGAGTTTAAGAAAATGATGAATGCACTGTCCCGGATAATGGCCCTTCTTCATATCAGATTGAAGGACCAATTCTAAAAGAAATGTATGATGTAATTTTAAAGGAGTGTAGAAATAAAATAGAGGGCCAAACAGTTTGCATGTCACTGGATGGATGAAGCAGTGTTCATAATGAGCATCTGGTATGTTGCAGTATTATCACACAAAATTGTGAGTCATTGTTGGTAGATACTACCGAAACAAGAGCAGAATCTTATACTGCAGAGTACCTTAAAAATACGGCACTTGAGGCAATTAAAAAATCGAAAGCCATTTTCACGTTAAAGTTATAAGTTTTGTGACAAACAATATAAGAAATATACAAAAAATGCGTTCCCAATTAGAAAAGCAAACCGGCATACTTCAATGTGGATGTTCAGCTCACATTTCGAATTTATTGGCCGATGATTTAGCAATTTCTTCGGCAACTTCTAACATTTGAAAAGTGATAAAATATTTTCGGAACAAACATATTATACCATCTGGACTCTTCAGTGAATCGGGAGCCAAAAAAACTGGTTATTTTTCTGGAGTTATGCCTCTGGAAATAAGGTGGAGTACAATCAATACTGCTCTTAAGTCCTTTTTAGACAATAGGGGAGTTATGGTTCAGTTATGTTAGGATCATAAAAAAGTAATTGAAGGTAATATAATAAAAATTGGGAATGATGTTCAGATTGCATTAAATGCCAGCAATTTAATTGCTCGCCTAGATCCAATAGCTATAGGTCTTGATATAGTTCAAAGAGACTATACTATCTGTATAGGTGGAGATATACAGGGTGACTTCGAAGTTGAGTCATTTATTTTAACAGTGAGTAGATCTGATCAACAGAAATGTTTTTTTCCTTTACCATTTTTCTGGTAAAATTAAAGTAACAAAGTTATAGCCCTTTGGAAGTTTGAGTACCGCCCTGTCTCAATAATAATATCATGTGCTCGTGTTTGGCGACAACGGATATAATCCGCCGTATCGGTTCATCGCATCGGAAACAAAAAAGCGAAAGAATTTGGAACGATGTTTTTACAATTATTTTATTCATTTGTATACAGTCAGTGTCAGTGAATAGTGGTGTCTGTTGCGGGGCTCAAACGAAATAAAAAATGGCACATGTTTATGCGGATCGGTTTCCCAATCGAGTGCAACCAACCCCTCGTGCCTTTGTTAATGTAGTACAACGGGCTCGTGAATCAGGTGACGGCATGCCGGTGCTCCAAGACCTCACGATCAAATACAGGTCCGCACTGAAATACTTGTCGGGAGGATACTTTATAAAACAAGGTAAACATTTTTTTATAATTTTTTTTTTATTTTTACACACATATTTTGGTTTATCTTCCTTCTACAATCATTATCTGAAAATTAATGACTCAACTTCAAAGTCACCCTGTATAAGTTAGAAATGGATTTGTCCGGTTAGCCACTTAGAAAAAGATTTATTCAAAAGATAAAATACGACACTTGGACCCATGCATTATTTCATAAGTAACACCGATTTTTGGGACAACAACTATCTTCTACTCAAAAAGGAGAAACCTTTCAGTACTTAAACAAGATTAACAGTTCTTTTTCATTTGCTATGGCTCTTACATCAAAGGTAAACCCATTTCCAAAGTACTTTTTTGGGACCATTTTAAGCTTATTCCTACAATAAAGTGGTGGAAATCGGTTCCTGTATTGGACTCAGATTGATCAGACAATCATGCACTTTTAAAATTATGTGAACAGTTACGCACTTCAGTGGCATCTACATTTTTAATCATTTGGTTTAGTCGACTCTGATTTACGAAGTCGCTTAGGAAACCAGAAAGCCAGTAAATTGGCCTTCATGTTTAAGTACATGCATTAAAATATAGACAAAACGAAAAGCATTCCTGAATGGGCATGGCAACCAGCTATATCTGAAGACATCGGAGTTAAGGTCACCAATACCTTTATTGATACCAATTCACCAGATGACGATATGCCAATATCAATTTTAATTAAATTAAAATAACCGCTTCGTTTTTAATGATTTTTTTTTGTGTTAGAGGCAATATAAAATATTGTTTAGAACATAAGTTTTGGTGTGTTTGCGTCAAAATATTGTAGTTAATGGATAAAATAATGCAGTCTTTTTAATGAACAAAAAACTGACAATTTTATATATGTTGATTACGGAAGTTGTTTTTTACACAAAACATGTTTGGAGCATCTTTTTATAGTCTGATATCAAAATTGAATGCAGCGGCAAATTTGAAAAAAAGCCGCGTCTACCGTTTGTCGGTATGGACGGGAGACCGGCAGTGGCGCGACAGTAAATATTTTAAGCTAGGTCCTCACGGGACAAGAAGACAGCGTGGCGTGCTTGCGATTTTGCTGTCGTGAATCTTGGCTGGAGTGGGGGATGAAACGTGAACCAGCAGCGGTCGTGGACTGTTCACATGGTTCACAATCCAGTTTCAGTTGATTCCTTGGAGTTGACAATGGCGGAACATGTGGTTGAAAGTTGCGATGTTTTGAGTTCGTTTTTAAATACTATGGTAACAAAAAGGCTAAGAAAGTTATGTGAATGGATGAAAAATTGGAAGAATAAGCCTTATTTTGTCAGAAAGTAGATGGGTTCAAGGAGAAACTCGGGGATCACAAAAGTTCCCTGAGGATCTTAAAAATTTGCTACGCATGTCTAAAGATGAGTTTGATTTTCTCTTAGAACGTGTTTCTCTTCACATTACGTGGTTATGCTTGGCTACCGATTGTCGTGTCCACGCCCGAAAATCAAACGTGTTTGATGTCGGTCGTGGGCAATCGTGGAGCTGTCGCTGCCCCGATGACGTCAGAGGCAAGTTCACGACACCTCGTTCAGGAGGTAATTCCACGCAAGCAAGACTCACGTTAGCGTGCCACGCCTCGTGAGAACGGAGCTTCATAATGGGTTTGACATTCTACTGAAAGTAGATATGTAGTAGAATTTCATGTTTAATGATTTACAGTAAGGACATTTCTCACATGTTCTGATGTAACCGTTCGCACCTGAATTCGCATCGCGAAATGCGATTGTCAAACGATTAGTGGTTTTCCCAGATAGTCGTTGATTTGCCATGCTTTTTGGACATTTTCGTGTAACATCTATGTTATAATCACACAATTTTACGTCACTGAAGATATGACTAATGAGGTAAGAGAAATTTCTTTATGTTTGATAGCTTATAATCATCAAACAATACTTGTGAAATATGGAAGTAACTTCTCGAACAAAAAGTACGGAAAAATTTTAAACATAAAACGATGATGATGATGAGCAATTTATGTTGGAATGTATTGATTATCAAGAAATATTTGCTATACCTGTGTTCTAGTTGTAATAATAAATATTCTTGAAACACAAACAGTTAATAATCTGGTCAGTCAGGAGATGTAGAAGTATCGTCACTACTTGAGCTTGAATTGTAGGAATCATCACTGTCTCAGTCGTCGTTTCTACCGAGGTTGATGATTACTAGAGGTAGAGAGAGTACGCTTAGTAGCCGATGGTTGTGGGGGGCAGAATAAGAATAGTACAATGATTGGAATGGTCCAATACTGGTTACAGAGTTGTTCTCCGCCACACATAAAATCTGTAGAACTTGTATATCCTGTTGTTGGGCATTCTTTTCTCCCCACTGACCGTGTATTTGCCCAAATAGAAAAAAAGTGTGGAAATGTACTACCATCATTGATCCAGAAGCATACATTGATATCATGAAAGATTATGCTAAAGTGCTAAAGATGGGGGAAGATTACTCAGTATTTGACTGGAAAAGTCAGGTGCACAAAGTACTAAAAACTCCTGGGTACTGGCATTTCAGATTCCAACCGTCCAAAAGACTGATACTTTCAAAAAACAAAAATGGTTGCGTTCTTGTTAGAGGTGAACCATTTTATAAAAGCGACATTTGTGAGCCTAAGAGCATTTGCAAAAAAGGGAAGAAAATTACACAAATCCAGTTGCTAACAGTGTGTGTAGGTAGAAGTCTGAAACCAGATAAAATAAAAAGCATATCAGCTCTGCTAGCACAGCATTATTGGGTGGATTGGGTAACTGATGGAAGGCTTCATTTCTTCAAAAACGCTTTTGAATTGGAAAATGTTAGTCAGGCGGAACTAGAGATCCTGAAGAAGAGATGGTGATTTTATCAGACACTGAAGATACAGACTTGGGATTTTAGTTGTGTTCATTTGCCCATTAAAATCATTTTCTTTGAAGATTTCTTGATTCTATTACCGTCCTTCATTATCATTATCATAGTTACTGCTACTAACTTCATATAGGTATATACACAATCTAGTGTTTATTAAGATACATAACCAGATATTTGCAAGTCTCAGGTGCAAAACAAGACATGTATAATTTTTTAACCAAAATATCTTTTTGTTATTAAGTCAAATATATTTTTATGAAGCAGTACTCATCACTATCAAAATATTGGATATTTTAGTCAAAACATGAACTTGATTGGACTAAACCTAAGATTTTGAGAGATTATTTGCATTTTACTCAAAACCACTTATACGTCTAATGTCTGGGTTTGCATTTATACGCTTCATATATTCAATTATTGTCGGTTGAATTGAAGCATTCACGTTTAAAATACGTATTTCCAGCAAGTTGGTTCGCAAAAATTCAGTTCTGGGAATCTATGGATTTGAATTCCGGAATCACAATTTACGAATAACGGTGGAGCTTCAGACCTGATCAAAAACATAGTATCCGCAGCTAATATATTTTCGATCACGAAGGATAATAAACTGTTATCAAGGGAATATCTGAATATAATTCGATTTGGCTACATCGTATTCTTCATTTGCTTGGACTGCTCCATGCTGTCAAATCCAATGTTTTTCAATCAAGTTTTAGAGAAATCCCTCGTAGCGTGGATAGGCATGGTATAAGCCAGAAGACAGATGTGTTGAAAATTGAGGTTTTCCCAGCGGATGGAAATATTCGCATCGACTGAGTATCATAACGCCTACCTTATCCAATGATACGTAAATCGCAAAGCCTGACTTCTGGCTACTGATCTTACCGTAGGATTTGACTTTGACTACTTGATATATCTTATTTTAAATAGGAGATAAGAAGAAAATTGTTCAACATTTGAATGTTCATGCAAAAATTCAATATGTAGACTTTCAGCGGATTTCTTCGATGACCGCGTGATAACATCGCTTACAGTTCTCTACTGCCCTCCACTTTGGAACCGAACTATAGCATACTAATAAAAACTATTTACCATAAATAGCCCAAGAACGGCTAGAAGATACATGTACATTTACTTCCATCACGTGTAATTACCTAACTGCAGGAAATAAAAAATAACTGCAACACATGTTCCTGTTTTCAAAAAACAATCTAATTACTATAATTAGATTAAATTGTTGAAATAAAAAGTAATAACCACATAACATAGACTATACTGCATGGCATGGGAAAAAGCCAGAAAATGGTGGCTAGTTTCACTTTCAGATGAAGCTCTGATATCGCAATATGCACCTAAAGAATAAATAACAGTTACTGGTGACTTTACCGAGTTATTTGTTAGAGCTAACTCCCAGTAAAATGTCATCTGGGAGAACTAAGATATGACATGTTTATAATATATCTTCTGCTAAGTACCTAAGCTTTAGCTTTTTCAGCAATATATGAGTTCGCAAAACATGTCATATCCATTTAGAGAAATCTTCATCTCAGCCAGCATGACGTACCACAAAATCTTGTTTTCTAAAATACTATTTGCCCTATATTTGTATTGTGACCAATGTAGTTATTTTTTTCAGTTAGTGGTATTTGTGAAACAGCTTATTAGATGATAATATTATGAAATGAATTAACATGGTAATACACATACCTCTCCGTTTCTGCATCTTCTTCACCAGATTTATTTCTGTCATCATTAAACATATCTTCCAAATTTGTTTTTTTTAAATGAACTTTTAATATACTGGTCCTTAGTGAATCATCCAGATTGTCTCTGAAAATAGTATTTGTGTGAGCTTAAATTTACATATAATATGCATATGTAATACTTTTTCTCAATGATGTACGTTGATTTATTTGGTCTACCTCTGTTGGTTGTAACTGGAGATGCTTCAAGATATTTAGGAAGTTTTCTAGTTTCTGTTTGAACTACACTATCCATCTGGAAAAACAAAGTTTCTTTAGTGCTGAATTACAAATTATGTTCTTTAGGATAAAATAAATCACTATGATGAAAGGAAAACAGGTTTTCTGAATTATTTTAGGTTTCTATTGAAGGTGTTCCGGAGATCATATATAACAAGAATATCCACGTAACTCCTGAACCTTATCCTATGGTTTTCATGTACGAGTACATAGGACTCCATTGTCTGGTCGAATCAGACCACATATTATTATTACATATATGTATGTTTTAATTTCCGTTTATTGCATGGCGTTTTGTCAACCATTCTTCTTAAAGTACAATGACAATTAATTGTTTGCGTATTATGTAATTTGATTAAGCCAGACAATGGAGTCCCAAAAATATCAATATAAGGCAGATTGTCTAGGAGCGAAAATTCGACCCAATGAATGCAGCAGACGCTGAATTTTATCTTTGTTTTTTATTTATAAAGGTTTTCTATTAAATATTCGAACACCTAAGAAAATCCACAACCATGCATTTTCTAAGAAAGGTTTTAGTATATCAAAAGGATGTCATTTGCCGGTTAAGATTGCAATTTCATATAGCACCCACGATTTCTGACAGCAGATTCGTGCCGAGCTCGAAATTCTACATTAGAGCGCATTTTCATACATGAGGCCAAGTAGTACATGAGTGGTTCAACCACTATTACCTACTACAACATCTGAAAAACACAAGAGCACCCCGAAAACTTAGCAACCACACATTTTATTGGAGAGATTAATTTTTTAATTAAATAAGAACTAACTTTTCTTTATTCCAGTTTTGAGAATCTTATTGTGCTTTTGTACGAATTTATAAACATCATTGAAATACGGCTGATAAATTTAAAAACAATATATTTTCCCGTTAACTTTTTCCAGATATTATGGAAACTTTGCCGTTTCAAAAAATCTGCTTCCAATGACCTGCCGATTTTTTATTTATTCTACCAGGCTCTAAAATTTACCACTTTAGTAATGGTACAATGCATTTATACAGGGTGGTCCAAGAAGTCGACGTCAAGCCGAAAACGGGTAATAGGATAGTTATCAGAACAATATAAAAAATCCAACTCGTGTATTTTTCAAATTATATGCTTTAAAAAAATCGGAAAGTTCTACACCTTGTGCTGATATTTTACTTCCCATTACTACAAATTTAATTTTTTTCTTAAATGGAGTGACGGACATTCTTCGCAGTGACTGCAAGACAGATAGTAACGTCACTTTTATTAATTCAATGTGTAGTGCCACCATGCCTTTGTGCACCATACAGGAATACGCCAACATGCACCTCATTTATGGTGAATATATGTTATGTTAGATGCAATGATAGTGCTGCAGCTAGGCTTTGAGAGATATCCAAATGCTGCTCGTCATCCCGATCACAGAGTGTTTGTGAATATGCAACGTTTACTCTCGGATGGACGATTCAAGCTCATGGTGAAGGAAGAATTTCCTTTCCTTACGAGGGCGTCGTACTACAAGTCCTCGAAGAACACCCGAGTACTTCGGTACGTCAAATAGAAGCAAGCACGGGAGTGCCCAAAAGTACAGTCCACCGAATCTTGCAGAAGAACGACCTCCGCCCGAGTACAATTTCTACAAGGCCGGGATTACCTTCCAAGAATTGAGTTCTCTCAAATCATGTTACAGAGAAGATCCGCGATTTTTAGAGGACATTTTATGGACTGATGAGTCGACATTTGAAAAAAATGGTTACATGAATCTATACAACTTACACGAGTGTCATGTAGAAAATCCTCATTTGATGATCACAGTATCGTGTTATAGTAAACATGTGGACCAGGATTCTAAATGGAAGAATCATTGTACCCTTTTCTTTTACAAAATCATTTACCAAATTTGTTAGAAGACGTGTCACTAAGCATTTACAGAGACATGTTCATTTAGAGAATATCTTGATGCAGAATATCCGACCAGATGGAAATTAGAGAAACTAATAAAAGCGACGATACTATCTGTCTTGCTGTCCATCACTCTGTCTAAGAAAAAACTAAATTTGTAGTAATGGGTATCTCAGGGTGTAGATTTTTCCGATTTTTTTAAACCAATAATTTAAAAACCACACGACTTAATTTTTTTATATTTTTCTGATAACTTTTATGATTTGGCCTATCCCCCGTTTCCGGCTTGATGTCGACTTCTGAGTATATAACAATACTCGTGTATGTCTCGGCATTTACACAACAACTGAGAGTTATCTATGTAGTCATTTAAAAAGAGTTTTTCCTTTCCTCATTTTTTTTGTACAATTATCTCACCTCTTCTGTAATTTCTTTCTTTTCGGTTTGAATAACGCTTTTCTTCCTTCCAGGTGTTCCTTTCATTTTTATCACACCTTCGCCCTTGCTAGGTGTATACACAGCTGAACAATCACGTGGTGTCTCGGATGAAGACACCTTTTTCTTCCTTCCAGGTGTTCCTTCAATCTCTGCAACTGCCCTGTTCGTAGCTGAGCTATCACGTGATTTCTCGGGCGAATACACCAATTTCGCACTCGGTCTGTCCTCATCAGTTGAAGTTGAATCTTTGTTCCTCTTTCTAGGAGTTTTCTTTATAGGGGACATATAATCAGCATATGATATTCTTGGTTTTTGCCTTGAAGATTTTCTTGTTTTTGGTGATTCCCTAACATTTTCTCTTAGAGCTCTTCGAGATATTCTGAGTTTAACCACTGTAGGTATATCTGATTCATCTCCTGAGGAATTAACAACTGAATATTCTAATATAGATTTTATAGTATTATCTTGTGGTGAACTGCCAAATGACTTGTTGAGATTCCTTCTCACAGAATTTCTTTGACGAGGCGAAAATAAGGTTTCATTTTCTGTGCTTTCATTCTTGAAATTATCAACATATGAGGTAGGTGTACTTTCTGATTGGAGCCTCCTCTTAGCACTTTTTGTGATATTCATTAAGGGGCTGTTGACGAGTTCCAGTACAGGAACCAGCTTTTTCGACTTGAGAGAGTATCGGCAAACAAAAGTTGTGGATGGATTTAAGGAGCTATAAGAGAGGAAGTGAGGATCTTCTTCTTCATGGAGGAGAATTAAGGCACACTTTTCTTTAATATCACTGACATCTATTATGTAATCTGCAGATAAATCTTCCACTACCTGCAAAGTAAAGATAGATATTCAAACAAATGTTTCTTACACCTCTAGAATTGCTGCAGCAGTTTTATATTTTACTTTTAACCCCAGTATTGCAAAATTACAAAAAAAAACAATTATAACCAAATATAAATGTATTTTTTTAATTAAACATGGAATGTTCCATGAAAAAGTGTCACTCATTTCGATCTGTATATTTGTTTTGGTAATTTGGTTTATATTTATGAAAACACCGTTCAGACTTTGATAAAATTTTTCTACTAGGGCTATATATGACATGGAAGAAACACATTTGCAGTTGTGTGATTTTTGTAACCCAGAGAAACATTCTTATCTATGGCACACAATTAAAAAAATAAAAGTAAAGTGTGTAACCACTTTTATTCCTCACAGAAATTCATAATAATATGTTAATACACAGCTAAATATTATAGTGTCTAGCATTACAGTGTAATTTGAAACGATTATCTATAATCAGGTATTATTTGGATCAACTGATTATTTATTCTATATTTGATCAAATATGCGTCGTAGTGATTTGAACAAAAACATCGCCTGATAAAAAACACAATTACTATATTTGTTGTTTCTACGGACAAATATGCATGTGTACAGTAACAGCTTACGAAAATTTCATATATCCGTGCAGCAGTAACACACAATGGAGAGATCATTTAAATGTAAAAACACGGAATTTTCTAATTTCTGCTGAAATTTTGTGTAATGCTATTTTACACCCAAGTTGCACGGAACATTCTGCAAATATTATTCAATTTGTGCATTTAAAAATTTTTTGGATGTTGCAATTGCCGATGGACTGTCGGATATCTCATTTTCATTGCATTGCACCTTAATGAAGTATATAATTTTTACAAAGGGAATTATGATGAAAAAACAACATTGTCTAAACGTCGACAGATCACAATGATAAGCAGCGTAGAATCGTAGATGTGAATAATTGCAGTCAAAGCATTTTATGAGATTTTGTTTGAGTCAATTGATGAGCACGTGCTGAAAAAATTATGCAAAATTGATAAATACCCTAGATGGCACACAAACGAGACAATAAACGCACTTATGAAGAAGAATGAAGCATATAAGAGCTATAGGAGTTTGAGAAAACATAGACCTAAGTTATCTATTATCTAACGGGGGTGTCCTTGTCTCTCGATATCCACGAAGCTTCAGGTCCGGACTTGATTCCTGTCGTTGTATTGAAGAGGTGTGCAGTGGAACTTGAGATCCTAGGAGACCTTCTAGCTCACGTCACGTCACAATTGTGGAGTACACTCATCGTGATATCACGAACGCGTTCTGCTGTCTTCTTATGCAATCTTCCATCCAATGGCTTCCCAGAGAAGCTTTGCAGATGGGTGGCAGACTTTCTCTCTGGCCGTAATATATCCATCGTAATTGACGGGTTCTCCTCTTCATCTCACAACGTCAATGCGAGTGTTACCCAGTGATTGGCCTTGGCTCCGACACCGTTCCTCCTTTCCTGTACGATCAATCCAATCCACAGCATTGCTGGTGACAGCACTCTACATGCAGGAATTCAGAATGAAAAGCCGATCCCTGCCGGTGAGCTGGAGGAAAGAAGGCTTCCCTTCTAACGAGGGACCTGGAGGTTATCACTGCTTGGGGACGCAACAATCTTGTACAGTTTAATGCTTCCAAAACACAGTACTGTACCTTGAAACAAAAAAGCGTCCTAGCGCTCATGCGGTTTCGATGGATACCCGAGTTCTGCCAAAGAGCCGTTCATTCCGGCTGGTGGGAGTCACCGAGGACTTGATATGACTCGAACAGATCTCGTGAATAGGGGCAGCGGCTGGGAAAAAGCTAGGCTATTAGTTTAGGGCTAAAAAGTATTTTGCTCGACATGACCTCGTGACTCTATACAAAGCTCAGATAAGACCTAGCCTCGAGTATTGCTCACTTGTTTGGGGTGCTGCCGACCCGACTACATTATCTATACTCGATGCTGTTCGGAGGAGGGCTGTCTGTGACACGGGCCCCTTTCGCACGGGTGGGGCATCGACGATCTATCTCTCTTCTACCGCTACACCAATAGGCTTTGCTCCGCAGAGCTTTCCTCAATGATGCCGCAGCGTAATGTGCCTGCTAGACAGACCCGCCTGTCTTCGAGTTCCCATCCTAACCGTGTCGATCTTCGTATATCCAGAACTGGCCATTACGACCGCTCCTTTGTCCTGTGTCGAGATTGTAGAACAATCTACATGAGGAGGCTTTTCCTGGTTCTAAAAACCTTAGACAGTTCTAAAAACCTTAGACAGTTCAAAAATCGCAGTAACTGTCCACTATTTCTTGGACAACCTATAACTTGGAAGCTGCTCGGATTTTGATGAAATGTTGCTACCCCAATTTGTGGATGTTAGTATATTTATATATGCTTCACACGTATTAGGTTTCCCCATAGATTTGTCTCTAAACTTTAGAATGACAGAAATGTTTTCAATATGCATCTTCTTCTATCTGGGCTGAGCATCTGAAGTAACAGTCTGCTTGATTGTTCTGCTCGTATAGTGCCAGTAATTTGGTGTGTGCTGTCTGACGTTTAGGGAAGGGGCAACATTGTCAGATGGTGGATAACCACCGATAGTGCAGGGGAAGAATGTCTATGGACTAATTGTATGGGTCTGTTTGACTGACTTGATCCGTTTAATTTCTCTATTTTGTACATGCTCATAGCTAATTTTTTGTCATAGGAATTAACTTGTGCTGAATTTAATCCATCATGAAGTGATGGTAGTGTTTCATAGGAAGTGCAGAGTCAACCGACTTCACGCCAATTTTTCAATCCATCCACTATATGTATATGGGCTAATGATTAATTAGTATTTCCTTGACAAATAAAATGTATGACTGCAAAATATGCAAGGTCAGATAAATACACATTTCCCAATAAGTATTCAATTCATAATAAATTGCAAAACAATTCAGTCTCCAATAACATAAACTATTTGCTTAATATCAAAGGTATTTTATTAGTTACAACACTAACAAATAACGTAAATCAAACAATATTATGGAACAGTGTAAAACATCATTTTTGCTCCACTAAATTGTGAGTCACAGCATTATTAGAAAAATAAACCAATAGGGTGATATATTTAGAAGTATGTTTTTTTCAAAAGCATTATAACAAGAAATAAACAGTCAACTGAATCAGGTGATTTTATCCTTGTTATCAAGCAAAAGTTGCATTCATCCTATTTAATTCAGTGAATCATGTTTAATGGAACATTAATTTTTTTTAAAGTAACTTCTTTATCCTATTTCCAAAAATATCTTGTTTATATCTGAATAAACAAATAAGTTATATTGGATCTGCAAATTTTTTCCCATAAAATATGCTACATTTTTAACAGAAAATACTTTTTTTTTAAAATTTGAAGCCCAAATGTCTTGTTTATATCTGAAAAATGAATAAATGATGATGGAACTATGGATGACATATACTTATAAGCATCAATCAAACAATCAGATTCATAAAATGTTGTCAGTTCATAAATCAAAGTTTAGGTGTGGACTATATCACAGATGTGTAAGATTACTGAAGTAACAGAAACAAAAACTATTTACTTCATGTCGCTGACAGCGCCACTGAAGATGGCTACTACAGATGTAGTCAAAAGCTCTGGATCAAATCCAACCTGACAGCCTGAAGAACCTAAATGACATTAGAATTAGCAGTGAAAGCCTTCATTCTTCAACATTTACTTCATCCCATACAATCTACAATCCCATACCAAACTCATAAAACTTAAAATAGGAAATTTACCATTCTCAAGCAACCTGATATGTTTGGAATGTATACCATAACGTTACATGTTGTTCTTGCTCTTTATAACATTACATATTGCTCTTGTTTTTTACCATATTTCCAAATTTTTAGTTTATATCCCAATAAATAAATAAGTCATCTTTGAACAGAAAAAGTTTTTGTCATAAAACATACATTTTAAGCACAATATATTTTTTGAAAAAAATGCAAAGCTTTTGTCCTCATCTTTCATATGCCCAAATGACTTGTTCATATCCTGGAAATGAATAATTTATGATGGAACTATAGATATATGTTTACATAATAGTTAGGGGTAGCCTAGAATGTCAGAGCTATTGACCTATATCAACCAGAGAGGTAATTGAAGTACAAGGAGCCTCAAGCAGATTGATATAATGCCTCATTAATAAAAGTTTTTGTATGGACTATATCACAGGTGTGTAAGATTACTAAGTAACAGGCAAAAAGAAATATTTCCTCCATCGCATACAATTCACAATTCATATTATCAAATTCCTATTTGCTCAGCTTGTCATTGTAAAACCTGAAATCTAAATTTTACCATTCTCTAGCAACCTGATGGGTTTGGAACATATATGATAACTCAACAACATTACATATTGATCTTTGTCTTCAAATTTGATGTAACTAAGAATTTAACTGAACAAACAGTTGCAAAAATTAATAAGTATGTACAAATCATAAAAGTCCCATCAGTATCGCTTCTGAGAAAAACTGAATAACAATATTGAATAGATACCTCATTCTCCTTATCGAAGTTGAGTCCTTCCTTATAAAACATATTCTTGATTCTGTCGGCAAATATATACTTTTTTACGAGAGCTAGGACCTCTTTTTCTTGATAGATGCATAGGATTTTGCAAACTGCTTGTCCATCTTGATCATCAATTAAAACTAAATCTTCTAATGTATATGTTTCATCTGATATGGAAATAGAACTGAAATGAGAAAAATTTAAATCGTACAATGTGAAGAAATATGCCATATCACTCGCAAAGCACCCACCTGTAACATTTTGTGTTTATCCTACAACAATGAAAATCACAGTCTCTAAGTGAATCTTTCAACACTACAACATTAGATGAACAAATAACGTTAGTTTTTTTATCCTTTCCCATTGTAAAAAATTCGTCAAGTTAACAGATAAAATAATTAAAAACAATAGGCAAGTAATTCACATTCCCAACACAAAACTTCCATACTTGGCGGGAAATCCAACGAATTTTGACACAAAACATACACTGAGAATTTTGGCATCTGGACATGGTACAAAAGGGTCACATGACTGGTCTCTGGTACAGTGTTGCCATAGTCTTCAAAAATTATATGCCACATTTTTGGAGATTCACACGGGTATAATATAATAATAAAGTAACCCGTCGGGTACAGCTAATAGTAAACATCGTTTCCCCAAGAGCGATCTGGAGATTTTTCAAAAATGGCTGCAAATCATTAACCCTGCGGATCACAAAAAACTTACATGGGAGCAAATGTACAACAGGTATCATGGGCGTAGCCAGGGAGTTCTCCAGGGTGGGGCAAGAAAACAAGGAAACTCAACTTAACATAAAAAATTTATTAAAAAAACATGTTGGGTTTATATATAAGTATTTTATTTTAGCATTAGTTTTCTACAATTCTTGCTAAACCTGGACAAAATTTCTTTTTCAAACTCATCCTTCGCGTTTAAAACTCTTTTTCGATGGACGCTCATCATGCAAAGTCCAACAAGCCGATTTTCCAACATTGTTGATCGTAACCAAGTTTTTACCCGACGTAAGGTGCTGAATGATCTTTCTATTGTGCAGGTAGTGCAAGGCTGCGCGAGTGAAACTTGGAGGGCTTTTTTAATGCCTGGGTAAAAAGATTGCGCCTCTTTAACTAGTTCAACTAGTTCAATCTCTTTTAACTCCGAGTCTGACTTCTTTTTTTCTTTCCACAGATTATACCATAGTTCCATTTCAGCCAAAATCTCGTTTAAGTTGTAGAAGTCACAAAAGACTTTAACTTTTTTAAAAAACTCAGCAAATGATAAAGAAAGAAATATACTAGGGTGTAATGAAAGCAACTCGTAGGCTGGCAGATTTTCATTAGAGAATCGCTGTCCTAAAGACATTATCAATGAATCCAGATACGGAATTATAAAAGATCTCGTCCAGTACTCAGTACCAGAAGCTGCTGGAGGATTTGCACGAAGCGTTTGTCGGTTTGTAACTCTCGGCATTTTAAAGTCCGTATTAATGTCTTCGGCTATTTTTTCGGCTTCTTTTAGTATGTATACGCTTTCGGCACTAACATTTTCCCGGTGTGTTTTTAAAAGGTCTGTAATTCTTTTTACATGATTCATACATTGTAATAAGTCTAAACTTTTTGACTGCAAAACATTCACAACTGGTTGCAATAATGCAGAATATTTTGCTATTAAGCAGACACTTACAATAAACTCGGAATTTGAAGCAGCACAATGCATTTGAAAAGCAGCTTTTCTCGTAGCTGCATTACCATCTGTTGAGAGCGTTTTTAAAGCAGCCACGATTTCTACATAATGCTCTCTAAAAATGGCGATGCTTCTGTATTTTTGAGACCAGCGGGTCTCACAGAACATCGGCACGTTTGGAACGAATTTTCGCCGAAGTGGGGATTCTCGGAAAAATCTTATTACTTCTTTTATTGTGGCCACTGTATTTCGAATCATTGCTAACTGGTTTAAATCGTTCACCACTAAATTAAGTTTGTGACTAGCACAATGAAAATACAACCCCCGCATGTACTTTTCCCGGAGAATTTTTTGTACCCCGCCGTCCTTTCCAGCCATGGTGGAACATCCATCGTACCCTTGTCCGACGCACTTTTCAGGGTCAAGGCCTGCGTTGGCTAGGAAATTATCAATGGCGGAGGCTATAGAAATAGCATCCATGGCACTTAGTTCCACGAACCCCAGAAATTCTTCTCGAATCATCATAAGTTCTTCATCAAAAAACCTCACACCAATAGAAAGTTGTTCTTTTCCAGAAATATCGCTGCTTTCATCGGCTAGTATACTGTATGCGCATGCCTTCCTGATATCCATAATGATATCCTCTCTTATGGCCTCACCACAAAGGTCAATAATTTCATTCTGAATTTGTGGTGACAGGTAGGTGGCATTTTTTGGGCCATTCTCCATGTGTGTTTTCAAGTTTTGGTCACCAGCTTCAATTTTAAGTTTAATCAGGTCTTGGAAAACTCCCTCGTGAAGTTCTTTGCCCCTTAAAGGCAAATCATGTGTCCCACAAAAAATGACGGTTGAAATTATTGATGCTAAAATCTTCTTATTCGCCTCTATTTCACTATTGTGAGCAGATATCAGCTGCACATCAACTGGTAAGTTCTCATCGAAACATTTTGCAGCTGTAGCTGCTGATTTATGCCATTGAGATGATGTATGCGATTTGGCAAACTCGTGCATATCTTTATAGCGGGTAAACGGCCGCACTATAAATGAGCCTAGGACACCACGCACATTAGTAGGAGGAAAAAGTACACAATAAATGCACAAGGCGCCCTTTAACTTTTTTGAGTATGCAAGCCAAGGGGCATATTCAGATAGCCAGCAGAATTTAAATTTCCTCTTCAACTGAACAGCATCCTTGGAAAAGTCATAACTGGCAGGTGGAGACCAGCAGTTTTTCAAAACTTCTCTTCTTTGAACTGAAGTCATACTAAATGAACGTCCAACCCAGTTACCAAGGTCATTTTCATAATAGCATTCATCAAATGTTTTGCCGGATCCTGACGGTAGTGAAGATTGACTCGGTGTATCCAAAACGACTGGGGCGCTAGAGCCGCAAGAACTGACATTTTGTTTTGACTTTTCTTCCCCGCCGCTATCACTCCCGCTCTCGCCACTACTTTTATCTGTTTGCTTCCTTTTCTGACTACCTAAAAAATATCCAAGTATACACAAAAGGTACATATTGTATGCTCAGCCTGCGCCAAATTTATTCTCATTGCTACTATCACTAGCATAAGAATATCAACACCGACTGAACGGAAAACCACAAAACATCGGAAAACGGCTAGCCGAGTAAACTCGCCATCGCCATTCATAAACAAATCACTTATTTAATGATAAGTGATATGTAATGATAACTATATTCCCTTCTTACCCTTACCTAATAATAATTAGTAAGTATTCAAATTATTGCTTGCTTACCTTTGGAGCTAAAGAATTTTCTAATGTCCATTATTAAATAAACTTTTATCCACGGCTCACTGGCAAACTGCTTGAGACAAAAAATCTTCGAGTACACCTTAACTATGTACGAATATGCGTAACACAAATAATTAGGTAAACCAAAAATAAACATTACTAACAAACAAACCAAAATCTCAAAAAAACAGTGATGCTCAATGCTCAAATACAAAACAAAGCAAGCTTTACATTTGATTTCGCGAAATAAGTTAACCTTAAAGTGTGAACTGTCAACTGGTAGTGGCAAACAATTACGAATTCAAAGTGGTCCCTCGCTAAAAACGGGTTGGGAACCGCTGATCTAAAACCTAACAATACAATGGCAAATGGCAACTTAAATGGGAGCTATTGAAACTTGTTTCTATGCAACCAGATATACACTATTTTATTATAATTTCTTGCATTTAAACTGGGAGCGTTGCTTTTTTATTCATTAATTTTAACTTTTTAGGATGCGAAAATATCTGACATACCCAGTTAAGAGGTTTAGGAAGTAAGTAGGGTAGGATCATTTGAATTAATTTTTTTTTAGTTATATAATTCAATTTAATTTTTTTAATAGGGTCCGTCTAGGGGGGGGCAAGCGCCCCACCCTGCCCCACCTTGACTACGCCCATGACAGGTATTACGTTTGCGATGATCATCTTTCTCCCGAATAATTCCAATCCTTGCCTGTCGGGGACAGGTCAGCTTCCATACTATAACGTTATTTATTTACGTAATTTCGAAAACTTTTGTCCTAATATGTATTTGTATTCGTTATAGTATTTTATTAAGATGTATTATGTGCTACACTTTTTTTTTATACGTTTAAATTGCTTTATGTAAAATAAAATAAGTAAAAAGTGACAGTGCTCGTCTTTGTTACCTTGTCCGTTTATTACTTTCTTTAGATGTTTATGCATTTTATTCAGCGGCATACTAAAGGTATTTTTAACAAATAAGTCATTTTCCTAAGAAATATTTTTTTAGAAAATGACATTTTTGTGTAAAAATTACGTCTGGTAAAAATATAGACAAAAGCGCGTTTCTCTCTGTCGGTAAAACAGTTTTCTATTGTCATTTATGAATTTCACTATAGCTTCCTTCACCCATAAAAACTAGTTTGGATCGCATACTCTGCAATAAAAGCGTCAAATAGTATTTAATAGCTTTAGATGGGAGTTTCGTATCTAAAAGTATTCTGTGATTTGTGATTTCTATCGTTCCGTGTCAGCGTCAACGCTTTCCTATTGAACGGATGACGGATGATATAAATCAAAGCATGAACCTGACAAAATCGGTAGGAGAAAAAAACCAGGGCTGTCTCAAGATCAGCGGTGATGAAGGACTTTTTTGCGCCACACAGCGTCGTTAATGAAAAAAGTATATTTTTGTTCAGCGCCTTCTGAGGACATCTTCCCTGAAAAAATATTGACTTCTTTATTACAACTTATACGAGTATTGGTCGCTCTTCAAACTCCTTTGCAACCATCATGGAAACTCCTTTCTCCATTATTGATTATAGTTTTGTGAATATTTTTATGTTTTATCACTGAAGAAACTTCGACACCTGGCATTTGTATTTATTACTTAATTGAACGCAGACCATCTTTGGTTACCTTACCAGTCCTACCAGCCTGTATACCTGTGGTACGCACAAGAAAAATACACATATGGAGGACGGAGTACAGAATATGTGTACATCATAACCATAACATAAAATATCGTTAACCGTTCCAATTATTGTAGGACGCTTTTATGACCATCTTGATTTTCATAGTTCTTTACTGTTCCATGTGAGCGCTCTATTTTGAGGTTATGTCAAAAATATCTATTTGCATCAAACTGTTCATGTTTTTAATTTAAGCCATCTGTTTTATCAGCCTAGAGAGCGCTGACTCTGACACGGAACAGTGGAAATCTAGAAATACCTCAGAATTTCTGAAGGAGAGAAAGACAATGAAAATCAAGGAGGTCATATAATTGTAGTGAAGTGTCCGTCACGTTTTAGCGTCTACTGTGAATAGCTGATCAACAAGCGACATCTTTGTATTAGTCTGTAATCGTTGGCAATATTGAATCGTGTGCAAAATTAGTAAAACTTGACTCGCAGCGTTTTCCTTAAGCAAATGATCTTGTCTACTGCTTGGCCTTGACATATCCGACAGAATTGCGTCATTTGTCCAAATTTTGAAATATTACTTAATAGTCAGCAGTCATTCTACCGTAATGGATACTCGTGAAAAAGACAATACGTTGATTGTGAGCCCGACTGTCCAAGTCTTATATGTAAGATTATAAATATAACTATTTGTTTTGGCTTTATTTTTGGTCTTAGCTCTTTTTTGGGGGGGATCTGTAAATATGTGAGTTATTTTAAAAAATCGTGAAGAATTAGGACATTTTCGGTATTTCCCTGAATAAGGTCCCATTTCTGTAGAAATACCGAAAAATTGGTATACCCGGCAACACTGCTGGTAATGTCTAGAAAACCCAATAGAGATCCTGAGCAAAAATTTGACACAAATGACAATGACATGTTGTTTGTTTGACAGTGACATTTGAGATAAAAATAACCAAAATAATTTGTTTACTTCAGTCAATTTAATCTGGATTTTGGTTGATTACTGTTATCGGCTGGATATCGGATATCTCCAGACCGAAAGCAAATAATTTGGAACATATATAATCGAAAGATTCAATGCAAGGTAATGCAACATATCAACCTTTTTTTAACCGCTTTGCTGTTTATTCACAGCAGCCTTTTTCGTAACTCTATTAACTCTTCTCATAGGTTGATATACGATATTTAACATGACTTCGATACAAGAAAGACTACAGTTGAAAAGGGAACCTATAGATAAATGGTCAATCAGAGAACAACTATGCTTAGCTTCAGCAGTATCACGAAGTGGAGATCAAAACTGGATGTCAGTCTCTAGATCTTTGAAACCATTTGGGGAACCAAACAGACCCCCTGACTGGTTTCATCAGAAGAATTGTGCTGCACAGTATGGAATGCTGCTAGCCAATGTTGAAACACCAAAGCGTAAGAAAAGAACCAGTGTTGATTCTGGCATTGAGACACCCGCTGAAAATATTCTGAAGAGGCTGCTTATTGAGCGGCAGGCTGAACTCAAAAAATTGCTTGCTGAGGAGAAAGCAGAGTATCAGAAGTTACAAGAAGATATGATTTTGTTGCAGTCTGGTAAGCTCCATAACTTTTAAGGAAATTAATTTAATGTAAGTTAATAGGATGCGATATGGGAGGTCATGTCAGTTGCTTTTTAAATCAAATGAATAAATACTCATATAGAGCATTGCAGAGCTGCTATACCGCAGACATTGCCTGAACCAGTCAAAAATAAAAATATGGGGAATGTTATTATTAACTTGTTTAAACCAGGACATCTGTTGATATAATAATGGAATTTTTGTCTCTCTTTTTAAATAAATAAATAAAAAGTTAACTGCAGTAGAAGCGCTACTCACCTTATTAGAGGTATAGGTTGAGTTTTTAGTGTAGGCTCAGATGATGATTCTGTTATTACATATGCTACCTAAGAAGGGTTAATTAGAAAAATTATTTCCAATTATAGCCTTACTTTGAAAATATTTTTATACCTTCTACAGGGTGTTTGAAATTCGACTATTGGGAACTTGGAAACTGTAAGAGATACAAAGTCGCTTAAATGGTGGCAAAGTTGCGTATTTATTCAATAAGCCAAATGCTGCTTAGAAAGTTTCTAAATTCAAAGTACTTCTGGAAAGAAGTGGAAAAAATCAAATTTTCTCAAAATAGTTTAAATTTTTCCTGACTTGTAGTAGGATTTCGAAATAACTTGCACATTGACATCACCATTTTTTCTCTTCTACAAGAAGGCATAATTGGAATTTCAATATGATGTTTCATCTCTTGTTCTCCAGCATCAACTTTATTTTTTCCTATGACGTCATATTGAATGTTTGCACAGATGAATAGAGTTTTTAATTCTGATTCCACAAATATATAATACGGCATACATTGACATTGCCATACCTTAGTTATTTCAGAAAAGTAGAATTTCCTAGGTAGACCTTAAAAATATTAGATAGTTATTTGCTTCGCACAAATTATAGGGAAATCAAAAGGTACAAGGACAAGTGGCAAAACTTCATATTGAATTTCTAATTATGGCATCTTGTGGAGGAGAAAAACCGGCAGTGTTAAGTTGCAATTTATATATAAATCCCACTACAAATAAAGTCATGAAGAAGTTGAAACCATTTTGGGAATTTTTTATTTATTTAATCAAGGGGCAAAACCCTTGTTACAAATACAAAACAGACTGGATTAAAGTTACACATTGTAATGTTCTTAACACTTCTTTCAAACACACAGACAGAAGCTAGAATTATATCTATCACCTAACCTAAGAAGGAGAATTATAGTATGGGCTCATTTAAACCTGCGTCGCACAAGAGAAGTCATATTCATATAGAGAAGAGTATCAGTGTAACTATGCTCCTCCCCAATAAAACCCATTTTATATCCACATATTCTCAAGAAAAAATTCTGCACATGCTCTAAGTGGTTGATCTGCAAGTTATAACTTGGGGACCAAACTGAGCAGCAATACTCAAGTAACAAACGAACCAAAGAACAATACAAAACTTTAAAAGAAAAAAGTGACAGATCATTGCAATTGTGATTTATAAATCCTAACATTTTATATACACAGTGGATTGTTTTTTCAATTATGTATGTTGAATGATAATTTTGAATAAAAAATAACTCCCAAGTCTTTGATCTGGTCTGTAGATTCTAAAGATCTACTGTTGATGCTATAAGAATAAATAATAGGAGACGAGACCGACTAAATGTAATTTTGAAGAATTTCGCATCATTTAAAAGTAAAATATTCACTCCACACCGATGAGAAATATGGTCTAAGCCTCTTTCCAGCAAATCAGCATATGTTTATTCCGAATAATTCTAAAAATCTTAACATCATCCGCAAATAAAAGAATTTCACTGGGTACTAAACTGACAAGATCATTAATAAATATGTTAAATAACAACGGACCTAAATGGCAAACCTGCGGAACTACAGAAGTTTCACGTACACAACGTGATGTACACCGTCCCTATCTTACCATCAGATAAGTTACTACCTATCCAATTCAAGAGCTGACCTTGCAGACCATAGTACTAAAGCTTTGACAACAATATCGAATGGTTAACCCGATCGAACGCTTCAGAGAAATCCAAATGAATAAAGTCTACCTGCTGACCTTGCTCAATTGAATTGCACAAATAGTTACTATGTAACATCAAGTTGGTACAACTTGACTTATCCTGAAAAAAACCATGCTGTTGATCGACAATAATGTTTTTAAATTCATTTTGAAGAGATCTGTTTATCAAGCAATCCATCAATTTCGGGATAGATGACTGAATACACACCGCATGGTAGTTTTTAAGAACATTTTTATTCCCTGACTTGAAAATGGGCGTTAAAAAGCTTTGTTGTAATTTGGAAATTCTCCCGACTGCAGTGGTTTATTAAACACACAAAGATTTTGCCAAATTAAATATGCATTTTTTCAAGAAATACAAGGGAATATTATCAGGGCCAAAAGATAATTTCCAAGGAAGACTCACAATTAAAAACTCTATTCATCTGCGCAAAAAAAAACAATATAGCATCCATAAAAAGACTAATGTTAATGCAGGAGGACAAGCGACAAAACTTTATATTGGAATTCTGATTATGCCATCTTTTAGAAGAGTAAAAGTGGCCTAAAGATATAAAAAACAACTTTGACAATACTCACACTCACAGTCACATTTTATAATCCCATATTTTCTTCCTTTTGACTCATTTTTTCAGTTCTTTTGATAGTTCATACAAGATAGCTAAAACGCAAAATGAACCATTTCACAAAATTTACAAATGTGTACAATTTCACGCTCTTTGATTGCCCTCAAGCTTTTTTATATAAGACTTATGGAGGTTTGTATGATTTGTTTTTGAGTTACAGCAAACCCTTTTGTAAATCATATATCAAGATAAATGAAAAAGATCACAATTCATTTCAAAATAAAAAACAGTATAGTAGATAATTTATTAGAATTGGTGTATTTTTTTGCCTTATGCAATAAAGCCAAAAAGTCAAGAAGGTATCCCTGTTTTCCTGCTATAAACCTAATAGCAGAAAAAGGATTGTGAAAAGAGGAATCAAATAATGTGAAAATATACAGGGTGTCCCATTTGAAAATTTTGATACATTTTGATACATTTTGCGTTCTTGACCAGTCTGTATAAACTATTCAATAAAAAAAAAACTGAAAAAGTAAAATTAGGGAGAAAATATGGGATTAAAAAATTTTTCTGACGAAAAATTTAGTACTCTAAAACAGTTGCGGAGATGCGTATTGTAAAAGTTTTGTGCTTTTTTTCCTATTATGTATTCAACAATTATAAACAAAACCCGGTAGTATGTTATATCATAATGTATGCTTGGATCACATTACATAGTGTCACATGACTTTGTAAAGCCAAACATATTTTAAGGCAGTAGCATACTGTTGACTACAATTTTTGTATTTAACTTTTTTAGATACAATGCTTAATAACAGAATTATCGACCAAGACCACACTAAAAACTCACCTTGTATACAATTATTTATTCTTAGGCAGCTTATCAGATGCTTCGATAGCCAAACTTTGTGGGTAGTGAATTTCAACATGTTTCATAGTCACATTACATTGTTTTGAAGAATTTTCATTTTGCAAAATGATCATTACAAATTTCAGTTATCACTCAACATGCAGAAATCATTTCAAGAACCTTAAAATATTGACATTTCTGATAATTTATACTTTTGCAGTACGACTGTATCTGCAAGAAATACGCAACCTCTGCAGAAATTTACTCCTATGCACTTCATAATGCTAATTACCTCAAGAATCCATACTCACGTCTGGATGCATAAACAGAGAACATCATTTGCAATTTAGTAGTTTCATTTAACGTCCTTGGAAATCTTTGAGACACTCATGATTTAATAGTTCAGCTATTCACAGACTTTTGTGTATCCCGGTTGTTCCAAATTCGACTCTCACCATTGGGATCTCAGAAATTATAAGAGATACGAAGTTGCTTAAATGGGGGCTAATTTGCATATTTAGGTAATTAACAAAATGCCGCTTAGTTTTGATAACCAAAGTACTTCCGGAGAGAGACGGAAAAAACGAATGTTCCTAAAATCGATTTAATGTTTGTGGGATTTCAAAATAAATTGCACATTAACACTTTTTCTCTTCTACAAGATGGCATAATTAGAATTTCAATATAATTTTTCGTCTCTTGTCCTCCAGTATCAACTTTATTTTCATTATGAATGCTATATTGGATTTTTGCACAGATTAATAGAGTTTCTAATTCTGATTCCAAAAAGGTATAATAGGTCACATTACCACAGATTATACAGATGCGACGCCTGCTGTCGGTCCCTTTGATCTTCGTGTCCCCAACTGCTTACCACATTTACCGATTATGTTCATTAGCGTCCGGAGGATTTTTTCTTAGTGGTTGTTAAGCGTTATTAGCCTGACGTCACGAATGTCATATGTCAAGCTACAGAATGAAGAAATTTGTGTTTATTATTTCCCCAAATGCATTTAGGTCAGATAATTGATTTGTATTGATAACCCCTAAATGTCACAGAAACAGAAATCCCACCACATGCATAGAACTCATGTTGGCGTTGTTAGAACCTGACTTTTGACAGAGTGTCGCCTCTGGTAGTACTCTGTGCTTTAGTTATTTCAAAAATAGCAGAATTTCCTAGGAGGCCTTGAAATTATCAGATAGTCATTTTTTTGCAAACCAGATTTATCCCAAAATCATTTTCATTTTTTTCTGTCTCTATTTGAGAGGGGATTTCAAAATAAATTTCACTTTGTCATTGTTTCTTATTCTTCTCGACAAGATAGCGTAATCAAATTTTCTATTCAAGATTTCTTCTTTCGACTTCCCTCACCAACTTCGCTTTTTAATGATATTAGAATTTTGTACATTTGAATGGACTTTTCAGTTCAAAATTAGTTGGACATGCATTTGTTGTTGGATGTAAATTACGAGGAAATAAAAATGTATGGTGAAACCTGAACACAAAATAAATTTTTTATTGGTGGTAATAACAATAATAATCATAAATAAGCAGAGACAAATTGCTCGATTTATTTCTCTTCTTCTCAGTCATACAAACTTTGTTACTATGTTCAATTTGAAGTCTGGTCTGGTATACAAAACAAGTTACTATCTGACAATTCCAAGGCCTACCTAGGAACTTCTGTTTTTCTGAAATAACTAAGGTTTGGCAATGTCAATGTATGACATATTATACATTTTTGAAATCATAACTAAAAACTCTATTCTTCTGCGTAAAAATCCAATATGGTGTCGATAAGAAAAAATAAAGTTGATGCTGGAGAACAAGAGACGAAACTCCGAAATTCTAATTATGCCCTCTTGTAGATGAGAAAAAGTGGCAATGTTAATGTGCCATTTGTTTAAAAATCTTACTACAGATGAAGTCAGGAGAAAATTAAAACCATTTTGAGAAATTTCGTTTATATATATATATATATATATATATATATATATAAATACAAGCAGGATCACTATATCAATTGGCAATTTCAGGTAAAGTATCAGAAGAACAACTGGATAAATGGTGCAAAGAGATAGATGAAGAAGAATATAGACGCGAGCAAGAGGGTATAGCGCATGCTCAGTGGCTTAAAGAGCGGGAACAAAGAAAGCAGGAGATTGAGCGAGCATGGAGACCTGTAAAGCACTCACAACTGCCTGCTGGTCAAAAGAGGAAGACACCTGACCATGGCGATGGAACTTCTGATGAACACCATCAGGTACCAAGCTTTACCTTACCTACCAAGCATTTTTGTAATTGATGATTTTACTTCCATGGAATCATTGACAGGTAACAGATAAGGTGCCATTCAAGTATTATGTAAGCACCAGATCGGGGTGGGGATCTTCCTTTTTGCTAATTTTTGATGATTTGGGGGCTGGTGAGAGGGGAGGCGGGTATGGATGGTTGGTACCTAAGCAATATTTATTTTTAATTTAATAGGTTCAAATTCGAACAAATGTGACAACCATACTTGTTAATGCTCGACAACGGACAGCTTGAAACCACAATTGGGGATTTCCCAAAATACCAGGTCTGTAAATTAAGTGACGAGACTGATTTTTAATTTTTTTTTCCAATATAATTAAAATTTTATGTTGTCGCCCTCAAAATAACTTCCTTCTGAACCCACACAGCGCAGGAGATGGTTCTTCCACTCCTCATAGCAGTGCTGGAACTCCGATACTGGAATAGCCTTCAGCTGGTCAGATACAGCCGTTTGATGTTTTCAACTGCCCCCCATGATGTGATTTTTCAACTTCAGGATGAGAAAAAAGTCACAAGAACTTAAGTAAGGTGCATCGGAAGGCTGAGGAGTCACATGAATATTTTTCCTGGCCACACACTCGTTTATTGACATTGCTGTGCGATAAGCAGCATTATCGTGGTGCAACACCCAGTTGTTCTTGATCTGATGAATGGTGGTGTGAGTCAAATTTAACTCCTCCTCGATCATTGTGGCTGTCAACTGGCGAACTGAAGATGGTTCTTGAAGATGAATGCCTTTATCTCCAATGGACTTTATCTCTTCTAAACCACCAAAAAACCTGGGTTGATAAAATACTTTTTCTGTAGGCCTGTTTAGCAAGAGTTTCCGTTGCACTGTGCCCACATCTGAAGCAAAACCTGACAGCACACCATTGCTTGAAATTGGTGTCACCCATTTTTGAAACACAATAGAAAAATCTTTCACAAAAAATCGCTACGGACAACCAAATGCGTTTAAACTTGCCTCCAGTGTTGCCAGATCGAACGCTAGGTTGACAGTCTCATCACTTAATTTACAGATCTCGTAATTGTTATTGCTTACTCATACTAACACGCAGTGTTTTATAGTTAAGATAGAAAAAATCCAGTGGAGCGGATTTTTCGCGTGCTGATTAATTGTTTATATTTTTGTTTTGTCATATTACTGCTTGAACAGTATGATGTTGATATTACAAAAGGTCACTGTCACATAACCTTCAACAGCAACCATCCAATCTCATAGAAAACTTGGAGTTATGGCTCCAATTGCGACAACTCGAATGTACCATATTTTCAAATAGAAAAATAATTAATATTGCTTATTCGGGGGGTGTTCATTTGAAATCTTCCCACCACGGATTTATCGAAAACCACTGATTGAAAGAAAAAAACGCCGAGACACGTCAAACGATTTGTCAAGGGGGACAACTTTTTAACCAAAACCTACTTCACCCCTTTCACCCTCGGCCCGCCAGGCGGTTCTTGCACTCCTCATAACAATGTTGGAACACCGAAAAACCTGGGCTCTTGACAAAATACTATCTCCTTAGGCTTGCTGAAGTTTACAACAGTTTTCGTAGCACTGTTTCCAAGTCTGAATCAAAACCTGATAACACACCGTTGCTCGAAATTGATGAAATTCATTTTTAAAACAGTAGGAAAAACCGTTTCACAAAAAAATCGTTCCGGTCAACCAAAGCACTCGAGCGAGTTCAAACTTGTACTGAAGGCAGACCGCATGTTATCCTCTCTTCTCCAAGCCTAGCGCCTACAGTGTTGCCGGATCGAATGCTACGTTGCCGGTCTCATCACTTAATTTGATTCAATGATCAATAATTTTGTCCATATTTTTTACCTAATGCTATGAGACATTCAGTGCCCATACACAGCTCCTAGTGTTTTGACACACCTTTTTTGCTCCACTAATTTTCATCTGCATCAACTGTAATCGTTAGATACAATCGGAGGAATTGCAGATTCAACAGCAGCAACAGCATATGAACGAAACTAAACCTGCATTGTCGCCTCTTTTGACAAGTTTGTTGAAGTCGCCTTCACAAGTTCAAGGCGGACTGCACCTTACTACAAGACATGTTGTTTCTAATAATCCAAATCCGACGATCGCGAGTCTGCTCAATTCTTCGCCTGGCGTGACGGTAAGTTTCAGAATCAAACAAGTAGGGTAAAAGGGTTGTTATATGCATGATGATGATATACGAGTATGTACCGATTAATATTATTGTTTGCGTAACTTTATGATATTGTCAAGCGCTTTAAATATATCAGTAGGAGAGCCACAGGAGAGTGAATTAGGCCTGTTACTATTCATTATATAAATAATTGCTATATCGGACATTTGAGATCACTGCAAAATTCAAATATTTGCGGATGATTGAATAGTGATATTAAAAAAAATATGAATTGGTTAAATGTTAATAATCTCAAATTAAACACTGATAAAGCAAAATGTATGACAATGGGGAAACATTTAGGTAAAGATACAATTAGACTCATTCTTAATAATTAAACAATTAAAGTAGTTAAATTACTTCTATAGAGCTTCCCATAATCTCAGTATGTATTCCAAAAAAATTGTGTATAACACCATAATTTTTCTCGATTGTTTATATTGTTCAACTATTTTGTTTACAGCAAATGAAAACATATTTTCAAACTACAAATTCTACAGAACAAAGCTATGAGAATCATTTTAAATAAACACAAGTATGTTAAGATTAAATCTATGTTAGAAGAACTATAGTGGTTGAATGTAAAAAATTCTATGTGTTATTTAATTCTCATTTTTATATTCAAATTAAAAAATCATTTATGTATTACCACCACATTTCGAAAACTTCACAAAATTAAATAGTCATTACTATTATATGTACTAGGTACAAATCGAGTACATACATTGATCAGTTACTCCTAGGTTTAGCCGCATTCCGAAGTTTTCCTAAGATACTTATGCAAGTAATTTGTTCAAATAAGGTATCACCTGGACTCCAACAACTGGTAAGCACGGCGATCAGTCAAGAACCTCCAGCTACGCAACCATCAACCACAGTCAATGCTCCCATCATCGAAGATGTCCACCATGACCTTTCACAGCAGCACATCGCCGGTAATGATCTGTTGGGAGATGCCAATTTCACCAATATCAAGATAGACGATCTGGCTAACAGTATGCTGGTTCAGGACGGCCCTTTGCCTGAAATAAAGAAAGAGGAGGTGGATGATATCATATCAGAGATCATTGAACATGTGCAGGTAGGTGAATGACGTGATTTTTGTTTTGGTGTACACATTACAAAATGTCGCAAATACAAACATCAATAGAACCATGAACCACTCATCAAGTGTTGTCAGTGTGAACCGCCCTGTAGAAGTTTTTATTGTTACAATTATTATGGCTGAAGGGCTCGCGCAGACAGAAAGCGTTCCGAGTTCCGTGTTCTGCGTTCCACGTTCTTTGTAACTAAGAGATTTCTGTAGAGTCGCGCAGACACCAGTGCCGGATACTCCGCTGTTCGCGCGCATGACGTCACGCGGAGAGTGATTATCATTTGGTTGATATGGATAACGTGCATATTTTCACCTACAGGCCAAACGGCTGGACGGATTTTGACATGTTGTTGGATTAGTCTTAGCGGTGCGAGTGACAGTAGATACATTAAAATTTTATACAAAACAAAATGGCGGATTTAAATAAAATATTTCAACCGTGTAATTCCTATCTCACAGGCTATAGCTTAAACGGTTTTCTAGCTCCACAATAGAGCGTGTATCGTCACTTCACTGTAAAAACAAGATTTTTCTACATTACCTATGTAAATTTTAGTATGTTCTGTGGAGCAGGATTAACATGCTCATGACGTTAATACTGCACTACATTTATTCATCCTTATTTCACAGAACATCCCAAGTACTAACCACATGCAAGTGTGAAAATGTACGCAACTCGAAAAGTAGAAAAATGGAGTTATCAGCTTTTTGCAGTAAGCTGGCGGTATAACAATATATGGAAATCACTTAGTCTAAGCCACAATTTTTCTCTATTTCCTTTCACGATTTTTCTGATCTTTCAAACTTTTAATCAGTTCTTTGATCCGGAAGAACATCCTTGACCTGAAAAATAAATAAAAAGCTTTTTCAGGACAGTCAGTGTTGCTGCTCTTCAACAGAAGCTATAAAATTTTGCTTTTCTGTTACTATTCCGTCCCAATTGAATGTAGTAAACACCTTATTAAGCTTCTCAATTTGATTCATGAAAGCTGTGGAAGGTTTTGATAATCCACTCTCACTAAGATGCTCTATCCAGGAGTAAGTTTCATTTGAGGAACTTTTCAACCTCTCATCCTGCAATTTATGGCAGACAAAGCCGGCCAAATTTTTCAGCCCATCATACTCGAGCTCATCCATTTCTTCCACTAAAACTTCCTCGTTATAGTCAGTTGATACTTCAGGTATATTCAGTTTATTCGTTAATGATGCGGTTAGTGGAATGTCCAGAGTATCCTCTTCCTCTACGCTGCAATACTCTGAGTATGCGCCTTCGTATCTCCCCAAAATATATGACCTTATTCTATACTTAAACTCTAGGGGATAAGTTGAGCCCTTTGCCTTTTTTCGTAAGCACTTTTCCGCTTTTCCCCATCAACAGATGTAGATGGTCCAAGTGATGATAGAGACTTGGGTAAATTTTCCATAGGAATGGCATCATCTTTTAGAGCACGGTAACTTTTAGGGGTGTAACCCAAAAAGGTATGTTTTAAATTGACCTTATAGGCACTTTCACAAAAATCCTTCAAGCGCTTTTTACATTTTCTTTTTGTAAGATGTAGACATTTTTTGCTAAGGTTTGAGTCTTGAGGAAATGTGTAGAACGTCATGTCTTTGCAAGGATTCCGTTTAGACTGGTTGTCGGAATTACATCCCACAACAGTACACCGCATTTTTAACAATTTATCAACCACACAGGCTATAATGTATGTATAACTAATAGAACAGGTCACAAAAACACCAACAAATCGCACTATATAGTATTAACCACAATATACGTGAACTGCAGTAACGTTACGGCAATCCTGCTGCTGGTAACCACGAGCCGACAACTCTCCGGGTGACGTCACGAAGCTCCGCCCACATGCGCAATATCCTATCTTCAGTGTATATGTATCGTGCGCCGACACAACGGCAGTCAGACCGCGCCGGCCAGTGTGAACGCTCGCGTTCTTGCGTTCTATTGTCTGAAATGCAAAGAACTCGTGGAACGCCTCGTTCGCAAGATGGCTTCCATAGAAAAATTAATTGATTTTGTATGGAAAAGGCGTTCTTTATATGTTCTTAGTAACGCAGACTACAAAAATAGTTAAAAATGCAGTATGGTTTAAAATAGCCACGGAAATGGGAAAATACTGTCATTCTTTTTTTTGTAGATAGAGCCTTTCTCCAGTTGTTGGCTTGTTTCTCTATTTTCTTTTTCATATAATAATGCAATTCATTAAAACTACTTAATCACATTCGGAAGTAAATAAAAAATTGTTCTTCAAGCATGTTGGAAAAAGGACATTGAACTATCCTTTTTCATCTCTCTCACAATTAATCGGATGCACCCAGTATCTTTTTTCTTATTAGACTCTTCCAGACTCCACAAAAGCAATACTTCGTCTTCTGAAGACGAACTATCGAACTCCATGTTTCACCTACAAGTAATCTTCGTAAAATGGAATGCAATGTTTGTGACTGCCTCCTGCCTGTGATAGAACTCGTAAGAGGAATTGACCGCACGAACGCCGCTTGAACGCTGAACAATTCTGTCTGCGCGAGCCCGAATATAAGCACTTTGACGTAGCAATGTCACTATATTGATAAATTAGTAGGAAGATGGAAAGGAAGGCTGAGACACTGTATCTTGCTACGGCTGATGTCAGCAGTGAATCATATGCCACGAATCGTGGTCGTTAACACAGAAAAATGGGGAATTCAGCCCACAACATTGCTGTTCTCCCCTAAATATTTTACCTCACCTAGGATTGCTTGAAAAACCAATTACAAAAATTTGCCGTCACTAGAGCTATAGTAGTAATATACGAACGCTAACACAAAAATGTCAGTGTTTTGCACGAAAATCCTCTCCGCCAAACAAATACGTTATTTCGGTAGCAGCGAACAGCCACATTTTTATCTCAGGAAGAGCTCATTGATCTAGTTTGAGATTCAGACCTTCCCAACAGAAAAGCACAACTACTTCAATCTCATTTGCAGCAATGGAACCTTTTATAAAAAGGTGTGAAAATTTTCACGTTTCGAAACAGGCAGTCCATGCTGACCGTATTTTTCACGACTTAGTTTACTGTCATGACATTCCAGGTTGACTGAATGAACTTGGCATTTCCTATGTACCTACCGAGTGGCGACTATTTATTGACTCTTCGAACACACGAACAGTGGAAACGAACGGGCATCAGGTCCCGCTGGTCATGCTGCAAATATGAAAGAAACATACCAGAACATGCGCATATTACTCCAAAGCATAAAATACAATCATAAGTTGAATATCTGTACCGATATCAAGGGACTGCAGACTGGCTTCACAAAATATTGTTTTTTTATGTGAATGGGGCAGCCAGAAACCAACATTGTTTAGTTAAATATTGGCCGTTACGTGGGAACGTCAGAAAAATTTCCTTAGTGAACCCTTAGTAGATCAGCAGAAAGTTTATTTACATCCTATGCACATCCATGTATAAACCTAGGGTTTATACAAATTTTCGTGAAAGCCTTACATAGATAGATAGATAGATAGATAGACATTTATTTCCAACAGGTACATGTGCACCCAATAACAGGAAATGCGTAAAATCAAATGAACATTTCGTTTTATGTAAAAGAAAAAATATAACTAATGTTATGTAAAAATAAACACTTGAATAATATAAAAAAGTTATTTCGAAAAAGTTACATATTAAATGTGATCTGCAAAATAGAACTATAAACTAGCGAGATAGGGGAAAAATTGATGTCACAGCTGTTAAATATCAAATTAAAATTGTTACAAATTATCGAAATAGGCGACTTAGCTAAAATGTTGGTTCTAGGGCATCCATAATAAAATACTCTAGAATTTCTGGTGTAAATGGAATTTTATCTAACAAAAATTCACATATTATGTCCCCATGAATGAGTTTGTACAAGAAACTCGTTGTTAGAAAGATACGTCGTGTGTTAAGAGAAATAAAGTTTGCTTCATTAAGCAGCAAAGAGTAATCAAATCCTCTTTCCGGGAATAAACCAGTTTTCTTAAAATGCATATATTTCAAAACTTTTCTCTGAACATTTACTCTTACTAATGTGTGTTACGCAATGTGGGTACCAACTCAAGATACCATACTGTGATAATATCTTGCTGCAAGACAAGGCAGTCATCAATAGTATTGACATAGTTGTATATTTTAAGGTCATCTGCATATAATAACTTGGAGCAGTGCAAGTCAAGAGTTAGATCGTTTATATATAAGATAAATAGTAAGGGTCCTAGATTCGAGCCTTGGGGAATTCCTGAAGTAGGCTTTATAAGTGGTGAACGATATCCTTTATAATCAACATATTGACTCCTGCTAAAAAGATACGAGTTAAATAACGACAAAAGATCTTCAGAGAACCCAAAAAAACTCAGTTTTTTCAATAGGATACCTAAATCTACTCTATCAAATGTATTTTCCATGTCCATATAAATGACATCAACCGGGCTTCTGTCATCCAAGGTTTCGCAAATGGTTTGTGATAAGCAAGCCAGATTTATTGATACATGATTTCTTATCGACAAAGCCATGCTGATCGATAGACAACGACTCTTTCGTTGCGGCAAAAATACACGTGTAAAGTATTATTTCAAATAATTTTGCAAAATTACAAGATTCTGAAATAGGCCTATAGTTATCAATTTGCGCTGGGTCACCTTTTTTCAATATCGGAGTAACTCTAGCTAGTTTCCAAGCCTCTGGAAACGAGTTGGACTTCAGAATTAGGTTATAAATGTAAACTAAGGTTGTAACAACGGCATAATCCAATCTTTAACTAGAAAACTAGGTATCTGATCAGTCCCTATGATTAGTTTATTCTTCAATTTCTTAGACGATGCGACAACATCAGCCTCTGAAATTGACCTAATAGCGATAACAGGTAATATTTATGCGGCAAATTATCAGCTAGGTTAGCATCAGGCATATTATATACATCAGAGAAGTATTGACCAAAGGCATCAACAA